AAATAGGAAGCAGAATGATACAAGAACTGTTGGCCTCTTTCACCTTTTTTTAACTATTACAAATAAGGATATGAAACTCACATCACAGGATGAAAAATTTGTGCCCCTCTCAGATGACACAACGTTTGCCAGATTTGGATCATTTTCAGACCTTTTATGCTCGAATATTTTGAGAGCTAACTTTGCGCAGTAAATTGTGATCAAGGGGAGACTTGCACAAAAAAATAGAAACCAGTAGAACAAAAACCGTTACTTTCTTTGGAAATTATTTCCTCTACTCCAGATAGGCCGAACGATATGAAACTTCGGTCATCTGATGAAGAAACATGTGATTCATATGAGCATGATTAAGGTAATTTTCATGCCTTTTATGGTCAGATATATGGAGGCATCTATGCGCAGCTCGATCACCACTAACATGTGGACATAAGCGAAATTGCACAAAAGTAGGAGGCAGTAGGACAATAACCCCAGCCTTTTTGCCGATATTTCCTTAAATAGAGCCAATATAGATTTTGAAACTTACATTACAGGATAGAAAAAATTGTGTGCCCTTTCAGAATCCACCGTGATTGCCAGACTCGGATAGTTTTCAGCCCCTTTCTACTACGATATATGAAGCCATCTTTTCATGGGACTCTGATGAGCAAGTAACCTGTGGACAAAGGGATAATGCACAAAAAATAGGAAGCAGTAACAAACACTCTTGCATTCCTATGTTTTCAGCTACAGAAAATGTGGATATGAAACTTGATCGATGAATAGGTATACTTGTGCGCTTATGACCAAGGTGGGAAAACTTTCAGGCGTTTTATGCTCGAATATAAGGAGTGTTCTTTGAGCTGGAAAAACTCTCACAGGTGTAAACAAAGGCAGAATTGCACAGAAATAGCAAGTAGTGGAACAAAACCTCAAGCCTTCTTTCACGGATATTTCGTAAACTACAAAAATATAATTAAGAAATTTACATCACTGGATGGAGAAACAAATGCCCTTTTCAACTCAAGTGACCCAACGATTGCTCGATTTGGACAATTTTCAGACTGTTTATCCTTGCAAATAGGGCACCATATTTGCTCCAAAAAAGCACTGTAAGGTGCAAACAGAGGCAGAATCGCACAAAAATGTGAAGCAGATGGCCAAAAATGCTTGCCCTCTTTCACCAGTATTTCTCTAACTAAAGAGATTAATAAGGACATAGTACTTCCATCATTGGATAGCTGACCTATTTCCTTTTCAAATGACACAACTGCCAGATGTGGACAACTTTCAGGCTTATTATATACCCCAAAATATAGTGAGCCATCTTATCGCGAAGAGGCCAAGTATCCTGTGGACATAAGTAGAATTACACAAAGTGACAAATAAAAAGCGCAACAGTCCTTTTTTTCCCTTTCTTTTTCGTTTAGATTTCCCTAACTAGAGTATATACAGAGATTAAACCTACTTCAGTTAATAGAACTTGTGCCCTTTCGTGTAACAATTGCCAGCTTTGGACATTTTTAAGACCGTATGCTCCATTGAAAAGAGTTCCGTGCATGGACGCCTCTTGACGTCCCAAGCACAAACCTCATGGGACTTGTCTGAAAAATGTTATCTAAATAAACGACTTGGTTTTTTTCCCTCCTAAATTGAACTTTTCTGGATATGTTTTTGCTTTCTGAGAGCTAATAGGTCACTGGTGGAATAACTGCTGGCGTACGTATCTAGAACTCTTCCTGCTCGATTAAAGGGAGCTATTTTTGCATGGGAATATGCCCAGTAACCTGTTGACAAAGGCAAAATTGCACAAAGTGACTAATAAGCAATCGCCAACTCTTACATTCTTTCGTGTCACATCAGTGGATAGAGGACGTTTTGCTCCTCATATGATTGAAAACGATCGCCACATTTGGATGCTGTTCAGACTGTTTGCCCTCGAATATAGGGAACCGTCCTTATGTGGGACGAGGTCCGGTAAAGCGAGACAAGGGCAGAATCGCCCAGAAATATGAACAATTTTTGCCTTCTTTCGCCTATATTTCCGTGATTGTAGCAAATATGGAGATGAAACTTACATCAATGGATAGAGAAACTTGTGTCCTTTCAGATGACAGCATGATTGCCAGATTTGGATAATCTTCATCCTTTTCATGTTCCAACATAGGGAGCCATCTTTGCGTTGGAAAGGCCTAACAAGGTGTACGTAAACAAAAGCAGAATCGTACAGAAATACCGAGCACAGGGGCAATGATTCTTGATCTCCAGATTATGCTAACATATGTGGGTCGGTGATTATGGCCCGAGATCTTGCCTTCTTTGGCCCGAATACTCCATATTGGTTTGCAAAATGGGAATGAATGCACCCGCAGTGGAAAGAGGATCATGCAACCTTCCAGTGACACCATGGTTGGCTGATGTGAATTTCTTAATTTAGCTTCAAAGCTTTAAATTTCAAATGTGTAGAGTCAACTGTACGCTGAGTCAAGTCCGATGAAGTAAATTTCTTTTGGACTACGGAGGAATTGAAAATGCAGCAGCGTAACTGTATCAACTCTTACCATATTCTGCAGATATTGGTGCTACGGTTTTAAGTCCGGACATGAAAGCTTGATAGAAGGGGGATCCAATGATAACTTGATCGCTCCACGCGTCGTGGTGTTGAATTTTTCTTGTATGCGGAATCAAAACCAATAATTCTGCTGTGGACGACTCGGCTACAGATTGGTCTTCACGTTTTATTGTCCCAACCACGTTCATGCTTTTCCAACGGTATGGCCACAATATAAAAGCTGTGGAGCCCCAGAGCGGATTAGGCCTACTCTAAAATCCAACGTCAGCATTTCTGAAACACCATGAATACCGAATTCGAAATATCTTACCAGATAACAGTATATCGCCTGCCTGGAATGTTTCACTGCAACAATTAGCTCGAGTTTGCAAATTGGAAAAGAGCTAGAGCTGAATGGTGCTGGATCCACATATTTTCGCAGATTTTCTTCTTTTGGCGGGATGCTGAGGGTGTGAGATGCAGTTGCACCCCACACCATGCCACATTCCACCGCCAAATCGAAGTAAACCACGCAAAAAATAATAATGATAAAACAAAATGAATTAAACCATACAAAAAATAGAAAGAAAAACGCAGCACCGTATACAACACAACAACAACCAGAGGAATGCGATGGAAAATACAAACAAGACAAAACGACAATCTCTACGTCCCTGGGACCTAATCAAACCGAGTTGCACGCATTGGGAAATTATTGATAGAACGAAGGTCGAGGTGTCACAGGAAAAAAAAGGCCAAAAAGTCCTACAATATATAAGCGTTTTACTTTAATATATCGTTTTGAACAACAATTGCACTTCTCGTTATTAATTAGGTGCCCATTACTTTTTTTTTTAATAAATTCTTAGTGGACCGTTCTGTACCAGTACGGGCCGCCAGTTTTTATGGAAACCCAAAGTTTGCAGATAATGCAGTCAAAGTTGCCTCAAAATGCAAATCTTGCATCGCCAGAGTCAAATACGGAGGCACGTCCATTTCGCAGATAATACAGGTATTTGCTATTAAATATTTTTATTATTTATTTACATAAAAATTTTAACACTCTATACTGTCCTTTCGGTTTGTACTTACTGCGTGCCACAGTTTTTGAGAATGATGGTTGGGGGAAAACTGCGAGCGTCACGAAGCAGAACAAAACTCGTATCTGTATATTCTGCCTGACTGCCTTCTTATCTAAGCCTTCTATGTAAGCCGTAAAAGACGCCAAAACTGCGGCGCCACCGCCCTCGAAACTTTAGCTTCTTATGCGCGCGTGCAATTGGCAAATCACGACACCGTATTGATCGGTGCATTTACGGAGGAAGGACACAAAATGAGTTCGAACTGTCCGGTCCATATAACACCTGGCCAGTTACAACTTTCTGGCAAGCCCGGTGGTATGTCCGTAGCGAGCGCTGATTGACACGCACCACCTATTTCACAATCGTGGGACCCCTTACCTTATGATCATCGCCGCAGTACATCCATAAATCTTAGTATCGTTGGTGCCTCGTATGATCTAACAACATAAAATTTATTGCTTGCGCGGTTGTTTGTATTAGGCTGCGGCCCTACATGTGCAGTTATTGCCCTTATCGAACGCTTTCTTCTGGAGTTATTTTGGGAATAAATAGTAAAGCTGTTGATAACATTTTGTGTTTTACTTGAATCATTTTTATTACGACATTCATACAAACGGTATCGTATTTCATGGGATACCATGATCATTCTTTGTGATGAAACAAACATTTTTAACTTAAATTTATGAATTTGTCCAGTGGTGGTCAGTGTGTTAATTTAAATTTGTACCAAGATAAACTGATGTTTTGGACAGACAAAATGAATTTACAAACATTGCATGGATAATATAACAGTGTATCTAAGTGAAAAAAAATTATTATTTGTAATGGCAAAAGAAGATCTAATGTTAGACATTTTTCGTTCCATATTTCCTGGTCATTGCGATGAGCAAACAAAGCACCACAATTATTGCTAGGATATCATACTGGCCCACTTGTCCGTCAAAGCTCCAGGCAATATTTTGCAGAGAGTAGTATCTTACTTTGACCTGTTTTTGTTTTTTGTTTTTTTTTCCAAAAGTGCATCGATAGATTTCGTATTCATGTTGAAAAAGAAACAAAAATTGAAAACACGAATGTTTCATTTTCTTTGTTTCAATTGGAAAAAACGAGAAAAACTCCTTTTTTTGATTTTGGTTTTTTTTTTCACACTAAAAAATGAAAAATTATTTGTTTTCGTTTAGTTTTGTTTTTCAGTTTTCGTTTTTTGGTGTCAAATCGAAAAACGGATAAAAAGTGCTGGGACCATACACGGACTCGAGCGCCCCCAATCATTCAGTATTTTTATCGGGGACAATAAAGACTTCCAGCTGTTTGCCACCGGACTATTTGTGGATTTTTCATGTACCGTATTATTGTGCTACTCGTCGGCAAAAAAATATATGGTACCAGACCTATGACCAGGGCGCGTCCATGGTTGATGACAAAATGGCAGCGGAGGAGAGAGCCGGCGAGAATTCCACGCCAGAAAGTGACGAAACCATCGAAGAAGGTTATGATTTCAGCGAAAGTGAGAACATATATGAGGTAGAGAAGATTCTAGGTGTGACCAAGCATGAGGTGGGTAGGCATGGCAATTTTTGACAATGATTTTCCTGGTTCAAAGTATTCAACAAGCTCAACACGGATAGCATGATTACTACTAACTATTAGGCCTGGGCCTAGCCTTGGTTGGGTGTTAGCTTCATTTCATTACGACTGACGTTCAGGGTATAAAAGTTGTGTACAAAACGACCACAAATTTGGTTCGAATTTGTTCTTGGTTTAACTTGATGAAGAAACTAATTTTTCACGTTTACAAGTTCTTTGAGGCCTATAGATCCGTCTGGCATGTCTGTGGGGTTTAGGAATTTCAGAACGAACCATGTCCATGGACTGCAAAATTGAGAAAAATAAGTGAGAGACAGCGTTACTTTTGTAGACGTAATTCATCCGTTCTCAAGTCTAGTTGTATAGTGCGTTGCACATACAGGACTGGAATCCGACCTGCTTGCACACACTACACGTTCCCGATTTCCAGTGAAGGTCTGTTGCTCGCCTGCTACATGGAGGCCGTGACTGGAACCCGGCTTTAACCCGCATGCTGTTGAGCTGATATAAAAAAATGCAGTTTTGTTTTTGTCGGATCGGGGCTTCAGACTGACCAATTAACCCACTATCGGTTACCCCTAAAATGTTCATATTTTGTTCTGCTTTTAATTTTGGTGTATAAACATAAATTTGTGACACATGCTGCTATTTTAAAAGAATAACTGAATTCACCGCCAAAACAGTTCTTAAACTGTGTAATGCGCTTGGCTAAGGCTTACAGAGATTCCAATAATGATGGTAACGTTTATTCAAATTATGGAAGAGAGAAATATCCCCTTCAAACCGGAAATGTTCTTGTCGTTGAGCTCAAATTAGCCATCTTTTTTATTCAGCAGTTCAAACTGCATACTCAAAGAGGGCAGAGGATGTCACAGTGCGGCTGAGCTAGCGGACCATTCCAAAACAGCATGCCGTGTTGGCACACGCGTACCAACAACTGTTTCTTGAATAGCGCAATGTCCACTGTACAACTCAAAGTGATCACAGGGTGTTACTGAATGTTCATTACTCAGGAAACAGTTGTCGGCGGGCATGTGCCAACACGCACGTTTTTTTGTGAATGGTCCGCTAGCTCAGCAGCTGCATCATGGCATTGTCTTCAGGCACATTAGCGTACAATTTGAAACACTTAATAGAGAAGATGGCTACTTGGAGCTAAACCTCAAGACCGTATCTGATTCAAAGGGGAAATTTTTCTTTTCTTCCCCAATTTGTGTAAACCTTACCATCATTAATGGAATCTCTGATTCTCACATGATCCTAAACTGGGTGCATTAGACAGTTGAAGGACCATTTTGGAGGTGAATTCGGAGGATTTTGGCCTCTTCAGGGTAGCTCGTATGTTTTTTCACCTGAGTCCTAGGCAATGCTTCAATTAGTACCTAAATCAGTCACAAATGCAACCAAATGCAATCATATTTTCACCATAAAGTCACCATTTGCGACTTGAGATAGCTCAAAAACTATAAACAAAATGTACTTTAACAATTTTGAGTATGCTTAAAAATAAAAAAGCAATGATTATGTACTTAAAATTCGTACTGGAAAAGTAGAAATTGCAGCGCAAGGGGCATCGCGAATTACTAGTTTACAGTCTGCACTGCGCTGAATCGGAGCTCATGTCGGAATTAAAGGGTGTCGCTTTGTTTTAGAGTGTCGGAAATAGCATGATTCATACAGCAGGGTGTCCCGCGACACACTGAAACTACAGACGTCACATAGCGATTTTCTGGATTTGCCTCATCGACGCATGTGTATATGCTGTACATGTACTGTACGTGTATGCAGGTTGTGTGATGTACATGTACACTGAAGGTGTGCCGTGTCCGCGCTGGATCATGAATCTACAGCATGGATGGACAATGTCAGCACAGGGTATTTATACTGCACGTGTGTGTACATACGTTCATGAATATTCATTGCACATGATTACTAAACTTTCATAAAAGTGCTGGCACCTACCAGTACAGTGTAGATTTTCCCCCATGAGAGCTAATGGATACCGAGAAATTTGTTTCTGTTTAATGGGTTGGTCCTGTAGGTCCCAACCCATCCGTCCTTTCTTTTTTCCTGTTGGTTTGAAGATTTTGTCATTTGTTTAGAATCCTGTCCATGCTGAATGTTTATCATTGTAAATCCCCCATCTACTTCTTTTTGTGTCGCAAATGTGAATTACAATAAAGGTACTAGTACATATATTTCAAACAACATTTACTGTTACATTAACTTGAAGATAATCCAACATTTCCGAATCCCCTTATTGTACATGTACATTGAGCCCAGGTACTGGACAGCCATCGTGCCCTAGGCCCAACACACATGTTAAAAAAAGTGGTCGGCCATTGACCAAATTCATTTTCCAGATCTGTTCATTTTTTTATCTGATTGGAGACACCTGCATATGTAGCCTATAGCTTTGGCCAACTGTAGACTGTGTAACTTGGACTCTACATGTACAAATCGCATTTTTTATCATTTCGACATCGTCAGGCAATAGTAGAGTCCTACATGTACATGTAGGTCCTTCCTAATACTTTTGCTTCCATTAATTCACTTCACTCAAAAAGTGTTATACCCTCAATCAAAATCCTCTGAATTCACCTCCAAAATGGTCCTTAAGTTAAACTATCTTACATGTACATGTATGCACCTGGCTAAGGATCATGTGAGACTTGGAGATCCCAATATAATGATGGTAAGGTTTACTCGCGTAAGGGAAGAAAAGAGAAATTTCCCCTTCAAATCAGAAATTTTATGCTCTTATTGTCGAGCTCAAAGTCGCCATCTTCTCCATAAAGTGATTTAAACTGTAAGTTAATGTCCTGCAGAAGACATTATGGCTTGCCAGCCTCATGGACCATTCACAAAAAGCATGCTGTGATAGCACATGTGTGCCGACAACTGATTCCTGATAGCCGCAAGGTTTGGTAGCTACCAGTATGACCTTATCGAAACTATACACTGGACATTATGATGCTCAGGAATCAGTCGTTGGTGCGCGTGTGCCAACATGGCATCTTTTCTGTTCTATTTGTACCCGCCTCAATGGACAACAGCTACGAATAAGAATAAGTTTCATTCACAGAAGGACTCTTTGACAACAGGCTCTCATTATGTGTTAGAAATCTTTATGGGTTGCGTACAGTACAATGTACATGTACATGTATAATGTTTAATTTTTCACCCAAAATTCATTCAGAATGCTGTTGATATGCATAACATTCATACTGGTACATGTACATACTGTAAACTGTACATGCTCCAGGCAAAGATGCAAAACCTCAGACAAAAAGAACATTTGGCTCTGGCTCTGATTTAGCATGGATTTTGGCATGTTTTGGTCTCAAATTTTTTGCATGTGAGCCTGTTGCAGGGCACTTGATTATTTTCATTTGTTCATGAGAATAACTAGTAATGGCTGTGGGTTTGTACATTATGTGGCTTGGCCTGGTAGGACGTTAGTTTTTGTAGCAAAGATAAAATACTAGATTAAACACTGTGTTAGGGGCTTTTTAATTACTGTATTGAATGGCCGTACTGCTCTTAATGTTCACACTGACTTGTCCCAAAAATAATGATTCAAATTAATGACAAGTAATGACATATTACCGTACGTAGGATTACTACTAAGATTGTCAAAGTACACATGTAAATTATAACCATGCACAATAAATTTGGCATCAGGTATGTTTTAATTTCAGTTGTCAGTGAATGGGATATTAAATGTGCCTGTGCATTGCTACCGGTATCAAAGTTTGCTGAGAAGACTGATATTAGTTATCACACAAGTGTGAGTTGAACACAGGATATTATATATACATGTATGTAGCGTGTCAGCGCCCCATACATGTACATTGTATGCCATAAGGCTGAAGGCGGAGTGGCATACGGGGCACAGATGCACTATGTTATTCTGTGTTCCACGAGCATGAGCGTGATAACAAATTTATCTCCAAGCAAACTTGACGTGCAATACAAAATGTTATCAGGCCAGTGCACACAAACCCGCCACCTTTGAATTTAAGGTAAATTTTCCAGTTGTGAGTTTTGCTTTTAGTGTAATGCGTTGAGTTCCATGTAGAACATGGGGTTTGATATGAACCGTGCAATACGGTTATATGTATGTCACACTGCTTGTTGCCATGGATTGACCAATCAGAATTGAGAATTCAAGTTTGTCTGAAGATAATGAGGTATACATGTACATGTACTGTCTGTAGTAAATGCAAACAATGCCGTCTACTACAAATTGCAGCGTTTAATATTGCAGTGTACAGGTATTTCAGAACTTGATCGCAGACTGTTTAGCATTTTCTAATGTGATACTCGGGAAATCACTCAGTGAAACTTTCAAAAAAAAGACTTCTTAGGGCCCTAATCAATCAAAAAGTAAAATCTAACCACTGTAAATGCAGATTAAAGTGGCTGCACAATAATGAAAAATCAGGTTGATTATGTTGATTGACACAAAAAGGAGCAATTTCTAGAGTTGTACATTGTAGTTAAATACAACATAAACTTTGCATTTACCGGTACATGTAAATGGTGCCAATAAGGCTGTGAATTGGAGATGGAGGTTTCAGTGAGTTGTCAGTATCAGCTAAAGAGCCCATTTGCAACATTTTAAAGGAAAAGATATAATTATAAGAAAAAACTCCTCTACTTGTCTATTTCCCAGGGGAGGCCTCTGTACCGCGTCCGATGGCAAGGTTATGGCCCCGAGGAAGACACCTGGGAGCCCAGGGAGAACTTACTGACCTGCGAGGACCTGGTAGAGGAGTTCATCGAGAAACAGAAACTACGCAAGCAGAAGATCAGCCAGAACCTTGCCAAGAAATACAAGGTACATGTATTCCTGTATTTCCATGATATTCCCTGATATCTGTTTCCAGAACAAACAGATATCAGGGAAGTGTCAAAGGCTTGTTGGGCCATTTGAATGCCATGAGTTCACTTAGTAGTTATCAATCAATCAGAGATTGTAGCAGCTCAGTGATCTTATTCCAAATCTTCAGGTCATGCATGCAGGAGCTGAACTCTTCGGTAGTGGCCAAGCTGGTGTCTCGCTTCAGTAAGGCCACAAAGGAGAGAATTCTCTCTTGTGAGGCAGTGTCCTACATGGGCTCCAGGAGAATGGTTGGACTGGTGGCCAACTTACATGTACATGGAGGATGATGTAAATGATTAGCCTGTAGTTCCCATTCGCGTTGGCCAATCACAGTGTGCGAAATCTGTCAACCCAGTGCGCGTTTGGAAAGGGCATTGCAAAGTCTTGCAGGTGCACTATTGTGAATCGCAGAAGTTGAGCTTTAATTCCCTGACTCCTGTAGAATTTGCCAATGAGTGCAAAAAGCTATCAGTATCAGTGGCTCTTGGAGGACTTTTGGGGCTTAGATGAATCTCAATAGACATTCTCTCTCGAGTTATACAAAAACATCAATTCAGTCCCTTACTTCTTCTTTCATTTGAAGTGAAAAGCCACTGGTTTTTCAGTCTCAGTTTGTCAAACCTTTTGGGGATTTACATGTACAGTATGTTTTTAAGCAGAACTGTGAATGATATTGTACATACGTACATGTATTCATGTCTGCCAGGCATGCAACTTTTCGTCAGATCAGCTGATTTCTTCGTTTGTCACTTCACACTCATGCCCTTGAAAATTGAAAAACACTGTACAAGGTCTGTTAAAGAGTGGAATTTCCTAATTTTTATGTCAAAGTCCAAGTTGCATGCCTGGCATATAGGCATACACAGTACAATGTATCGGTATGGTTATTTTCAGTGTACACCTAGTCTCAGACAAAAACCAAAATACAGTACCAGTATACATGTACATGTACACGTATGTAAAGGAAAGTGGCATAAACTTGATTACTTGCTCCCCAGTGCCATCTTCGCTGACTGCAAAGCGACAGACATCACAAATCCATGAGTTAATTGACATGGACTGATACATGTACAGTGTACATGTAGGTGTACACGCTGTTTTGAGAATAACTACAGTACATGTACATCGGAACGTGCATCGTACATGTATACAATACATGTGCACGATTCAAAACGTAAACTGCCAGTTCTTTTGTACAATGTATGTCACATTTACATGTACATGAACAGTGGAACGCCGCTATAACGAACAAAATGGGGTCCATGCTAAATGTTCGGTACAGCGGTAGTTTGGTATAGCGAAATTAACTGCCAAACGTTTCGTTGCCATGTTGAATAGCGCCCTCCCTTGTCTAACTGAAATGCACCCTCTTGTGATACTGTGATTCGCTGTTTTCACAATGTTTTGCTGTTGCATTCACATTTGAGGTTTCTAGAAATGTATCTGTTAATTATTTTTGTTTCTTCATGAAATCTTGAGTTTCAAAATTGATATTTAATTTATCCTAAAAGTCGTGAAGCTACTGCTCAGGATCGATCTCTGATGCGTGGCATGGTGAATTTCAGTTGATTTGCAACTGCATAATGTTCGGTAGGTTTTGTGCACAAATATTGGGAGCCAAGGACGATGTTCGGTACAGCCAAATGTTCGGTATAGAGAACTGATACATACATGCACCGGTACTGTACATGTGCTGTATGAAACCAAGTGGCCTTCTATCATGTCCATACTGTGTTTGGTACTGGTTTGTATGGTACATGTACATTGTGTTCCCCCTCTCCCCCCCTTTGTCCAAAAAAAAATTCCAGTAAAATTAAGAATTGAGTTTTTCATGTGCTTGTATACATGTGCATGTATGTACATACTCCTACGCATTCCCCAGATGTTGTGCTTTCATTGCTCTCAGGAATGCAATGGTGCTGTGTCGACGTGCCTAAAGCAGATATAGCAAAAACAGTGTACAGTACTGTACACTGGGAGGCCATTTAGAAATTGTACGTGAATGTACAGTATAAATACATGTACATGTGCACATACATGTAATGCACCGGTACCCAGAATATTTTTACCTCAGATTTAATATAAAAGGGAAATTTTCATCAAATTTAAACAGTCCTGTTCATAGATCTTAGCTTTGTGTACCCGATAAAAAGTTCAATAAGGTTCTATTTTGGCTTGATTTTCTTTTTTTTTACTTTGCACAGTGAGCTCTTTTATCATATATGTACAAACAGGTTTCAAAAGAAACAATTTTCTAATAAAATTGTAGAACTTTGTGAGAAGAGGTAACAATGATTTATTTGAATTTATAAGCTTTGTAGAATTTCCTACATGTATCTGAGATTTGTTCAAGTGTGCCATGTCAGGGAACACTCGGCCGGAGTTGGGCCTAATTTGCGGATGACACTGTAAGTCTGCACAAAGGTCCAGCGGCATGTTTTATGAAATGTACAGGTACCGGTAAATGAATTTGATTTATTTTGTGTTCTGATGGTGTGCAAATGAACTGTTTATAACAAGAACCTGCACATGCACTGCAGTACAATGTCAGTCTATACCGTTTATCTAAGTGAATTTTGAGAAATTTGTTGAGCCAATTTTATGCAAACATTTACTGTACACTGTACATGTACATGTGCACACTGTGCATGTTTACTTAAACACCTGTAGGTCTACAACAGGACTGTTTAATGATAGGCTGCTTCTCTGCCATGTACAGGTAGTACATGTACATGTATGTGTACCGTAAAATATAAAAGGTTATGTCAGTTCCTTGAAATTGGGCTGCTCTGCTGTTCACTGACATACATGTACATACATTGTATACAATGTACATGTACAATACGTGTGCTAGTACATGTGCATGTACATGTACAATGTACCCGGTACAACTAATATGCATGTGTGTACATGCACATGTACATGTAGCATACAGTATAACTATACTTAATGTAACTGGCACACACTGTGTACACATGTAGGGTGCTACTGATTATCAGACTTATGTACATGTACCGGTATGTACATGTACACAGGTGCAATTGCTAGAGGTCATTGTTGTCATGTGTGCTGGTGTATGGATTAATCAGATGGAGGTCCTTGTTCATCACAGGAGTGGCCACAGTACTCAGCCAAAACATGTATAGTGCATGCACAATGTACATGTACATCTTGTACAGTGTACACGTGTACATGTACAGTATATGATAATGGGTTTCTAATACATGCATGCAAGGCAAATGAAATGCAGGGATCTGTGTTTAAATCCTGATGGCATGTCACTTTCGTGTGGTACATGTTGTAGGTAAATTTATTATGGATGTCATCACGTGCATGTACAGGCAAACATCATTCCAACCCAACACTACTTAACATGTACCGGTATATTGGATAATGGCTATTATCATGCAGTGCATGCCTGGGCATGTTCATCCACTTGCTCACCGGCTGAATGTGAAGTTGCACATGTTGATGTACATACATGTACCATTACATGTACAGGTCTGTGTTCTGTACTGTTTATGGTATAAATATATGGTACTCGCACAGTACTCGCACGTGTACTGGTACATACCGGTACATGCATGTACATGTACACGAACATTGTGTACATGATGCGTACTGTACATGTACAGACCTGTACATTGTATTACATTGTACAGTTTGTTTTAAATTACAAGTCATTGGCATTGGCAGTACTGATACAGGCACTGGTACTTGTACCAGTATATGTTTGTTTATAAACAATACATGTACATGTACATGTATACTGAACATACACACATGTACATTTTGTACTCATCTGCCTACAGAACGTACCGCTGCAGGTGCCTGCACTTCATAGGGTACATGTACATGTACTGTATTTACCAGTACCGGTATACGAATCCTTCAGCTGGCTTTTTGGAGGAAGGGTTATCACCCATATCTTTATCTGTGGTTAGTTTACATGTACATTGCCATGCCCCCTCACAGTTCCTAAATTGTACAAACACCTCTTCATTGGTCACTTCCTCATTGTCTTCTGCCTTTGTCATGTTTGTGTGTGGACTACCCATATGAGCACTGCAAAGTGGCCTGCACAACCATCATCTCCCCTCATAAAACAAGCATTACAGAATAGTGTGGCATACAGTACATGTACCGGTACCTGTACATGTATCCTATGTGTACCAACTGGAACAGGTTCATGTACCTGTGCAATGATGTACGGTACATCTACATTCATGGCAGTGTACTGGCACCTGTATGTAGGCGTGTACATGTACATGTATACTGTCAGGTCAGACTGTACAGTAGTTACATGTACCTGTGGTACAATCTGTTACTAGTACATGCACAGATACATGTACACTTGTACCTGTCCAAAAACAATCGAATTTACGCGTACATGTACAGTATGTACAGTACCGCTACATGCACACATGTACCTGTGCATGTACATTGCAAAGAGAACACCTGCATTGTAAAGGACGTCTTGTGCTTAAACTGTTTTTCAAATATTCTGATATAATTTTCCTGCAGTTACAGACAGGTGTCAAGGTACAGACCCACAGTTTATGCTCATGCAAGAATGCATTGCTGAGCACTGTTTAAAATGTATGTTATTTTGTTAGATTACTACCAACGTACTGTATATGCTGTACTGTACCTACACATGTACATGTATGTCCATATACTGGTACAGTATTTTTGTGTAAGGTGGTAAAGGAAAAACTGGTGAGCTCATCTACATGTACATAGTGCACAGTAGTACACGTACATGTACACTCACACATATCAGTTTGAATTATAACATGTATCCAAAACAAAGCAAAAACAGACTACCAGTAAAAATAAAACCACTCTTGAGTACAGTTACTGCATATACATATACACACTTCATGCAGTTGCCAGGTGGTGGCCTCATTTTTTTTGCATTTTGTCTGTTTACCACAGCTTCAAATATAAAGTTTTCATGGTTCATACAGTTTCCTAGAAAAAGATTGTTGAACTTGAAACTTAAATTTAGTTAAAACAAACTGATTGATACATATATGCATGTACATGTAGTCTTTAGATGATTCCCATTGCTGAGAGCTTTGTGAGTTAATTGACCCTGTGGGCTGGAAAATATACATGTATAGATACTGGTACATTTAACAATTTCACTTCAGATCTTTTGCCTTGAGTCATGTTGAGAACAACATCATTTTGAAAGTACATACCCTGTAAAAGTAAAATGCTTGATTGCTTGTCTGTTGGCTTATTGCTTTTTTGGTATAGTACAGGTGCACTTTTTTATTTGAACCCTATTAAAGTGCAAAGGAAAACGGTTTCAATTTTGTGACATCTAGGGTTTCGGAGGTACCGGTACAGTACTTACAGTACATGTAGATTGGCCACCCATCGGAAACCAGTATACCTGTACAATTAATTTCTCTGCCGAAAATCAATACAAGAGCAATAAGGGGCATTTTCTTTCCACATACGCTAGGTGAAATTTTATGGTTATGTTGCTACATTAATCTCTAAGATGCATAAACCTAAAATCCTACTCTTAGCTGATCAGAATTATTGTGAAATTTGTTCCGACATGGAGTATGAGATGTAAAGGTGGAGAGGAACATAAATTTGTGTACGTGTGTTCATGTGCAGTGGCAGCAGACTAATCTTGTGCCACAGAGAATAGTGCAGTCAGAGTCAGATACCCAGAGCCGAATCGAGACAGTGTGATATTAAATTCAATTTTTATACATGTATTTAAGTATGGAGGAATAAGAACACATTCCTCTATGATTTAAGTAAGTTTTGTCAGATTTTTCTCATTGTATTTTTATACTATATCGGTATACTGTACATGCATTCATCCTGATGGTACTACTGGGTACTTTTGCGGTGTGCAGAATGAAACTCACATACATGTACAGTGTATCCGTACTGTATGTGTATACACCAGAAGCATACGTGTGTAATTGCGTATTGATAGAAGAGTGTATTGGCCTATGGGGGGAAGATCAAAAGGTCTGTCGTTTGTAGTCAGGAAATACACACATGTCCGGTTACATGTAATTCTAATGGACATGATATTAGGATATTTCTATAAATACATGTACATGTATGCTACATGCACATGTAGGCCTACATGCACAGTAGAGACTGTACTTGTGGAATGTACATGTACAGGTGTACATGTACATCATACATAAATGTACAGGTCTGTATACATTCACATACATCTACCGGTAGGGTCTTTGCCATAACCTGAGGAAGTCCTAATACATGTACAGTACATACATTGTACATGTACATGTATGTACATGTTTGCATGCACTGTACTTATACTATGCATGGCTGAATTCCAAACTGTCGTACATCGTACAGTACATGTGCAAGTAGGCCTTTAATTCCCACCCTCAGGTAGACATGTACATGTACATGAGATACCTGTAGGTTATATTACATGTACATACGTACCGGTACCCTTGCATACATGTACTTTGTACATTGCACATGTACTGTTGTATACAAATACATGTACATGTACATAGAGGTTTGTACATGTACATGTACCTAAATGCACCACTGTAGTACCAGTACAGTACTTTGAACTCCAGGTACATGTAACTATTTTGTTTCCATATTCCATCCCTGCTTTGTAGGTTGGCTCAGTGAGGCCAAGTTCCTTTTTCACTACCCTGGATTTTTGCATCATGTATGTACATGTACACTCACACACACTGGACTCTGGTACCTGTACATACATGTACTGTAGGCATACTGAGTTTTGCATATTTTTCGTGTTCAGTAGCCTTGGGTTCTGTGTTAAGGTAAAGCCCTGGTCATGCAGCTCAGAAAAAAATGGTATTTATGTATGCACTGTAAAGAGACCTGTTTTGTTTAGGAAATAATCCATGCACTGTACAAAGTACGCATCTACACAGTATATGTACCAGAACATACATGTGTTTAATGTACAGAGCCATTTCAACTTCTCTCAAATCCACATAAAAATATAAAAAACACAGATTTTTTTTTTAGGATTGAGGGGGAAAAAAGAAAGAGATAGACCTTTTCCTGGTCTGGGAACAATTTGAATAAATATAGCCCCAGGAGTTGAGGAGGGGTGGACATACATGTACATGTACCTGTAGTGTAAATCCCCTATCAATCCATTCATTTTTTTATGATTAAGGGAAGGAGGCTGCTCAACCTGCACTCTAGTGCTGTAAAGAACCTTGGGCTGTCTGCCCTTATCCTGCCTGTGTGTGCCCGGTTATTTTTTTTCTCCCTGCAGTCCGGGATTATATTTCATGCCACATATTTGCACAAAGGTAGGATTCTGAGTGAATGGAAATAACACAGCAGAAAAATGTAAATGCTGTTCAGGCTGTTGGGAAACTGGAAAGTCCTGTTTTTTTTTTTTTTTTTGCAAGCACATGTAGATGTATAAATTTCAGCTGTTAAATTAACCTCAATCAGTGCACTAGGATGTTCATACTTTTTTGAGGTTTTGATGTTTTCAAACGACCATTCCCTACCGGTATATAGTGTTCCTTGTCAATTTCTTTTCAAGGTGATTTGAATACATGTACATGTACAATATACATTGTGACTATAAATTGGTTTCGTACACAAGCATGTTTGGGTTTAGAATTTCAGACAAAAATATAGTGAAGGGAGCCTTTTTTGTATAGTTTCAGAATTAATATATTATCTCCAAAGCAGAAGCAAAGCATTGAGATGAACAGAAGAAGTTAATATACACATGTGTACATGTACATGTATGTACACTGGTATTATCGTGCAGTACATACTAGTACTAGCACCATACATTGTCCGTTGTCTCATGTACATGTGTTATATCAATACATGTACATTGTACATGTACCTGTATATGTGCAATGTACAGTTTGCTGATACAGTACTGGTTACTACATGTGTATGTATATGTACATGGACAGTGATGTACAATGCAGCTTTGGCATACGAACACATTGTATTGGTACCGTACAAATGTATTCTAAATTGATGAATAAATGCATGTAACATACTGTACATGTACTGGTACAGGTACCGGTAGTGTCAAGAACCATACATTAATGTAAATTCAATTATAGAAGTAATTTTTTGTTCCAAATATTACTAAAATAATAACCTCCTTACTATGTACATGTATATGTACATCCATCCCTCAGAGAATTGGGTCTACATGTACATGTACACGTAGATACGTTTTGTACTGTACATGTACCGTTTAGTCAGCATGATTATTAATTAACACTAACCTCTAGTGTACAGTATATCTAAAATCACATTGAAATCGTATTTGGCACTGTTAGGAATAGCTTTAATGTTGAGTGAAATTTGTGATGGTTGGAACAGTGGCATCCCCTTCCCAAATAAGACAGATTTGGAGATGTTCTCTTATTTGTTGATGGTGACTTACTGGGCCATATTACTTTCTTGTGTCCTACTCAAGTTGGATTTCCAGCCTAAGATACACGTACTGTATATGCGTAGTATATGTACATGTAACCATACATGTACGAACTACTGATCCATGCCCACGTACAATGTACATGTACCGGTGCACGTGTACATGTACATGTATGCATGTACATGTGTATATGTACCACACATGCAATGAAACTCACATTTGGATCCTGTTAAGCAACTTGTATTTTACTGTAGTCACTGACTTGACCTACCGGTATGAAGTAAAATGTTTTGAATTCAGTGGATAAAGTTTGAAAAATAACACATTGTATTGTGGAACACGGGATATGAAAGTTTTACTGCATGAAGTATGGATTGGAGTTTCCTGGCATGTATACATGTAATAACTAAGCCAGTTAACTATAGCTTTGAGTAATTACCAGCATCCTTGGTTTTTGTATTTGAACCAAGGAAGGAAATATTTAAACCTTTCTTCCTGATCTGAATCCTGTATGGTGAATTTTAACTTCACCACATGCATGTATGTAATTTTATGTACTGGTACTGTAGTATACTATGCATGTATGTCTTACTTGGTACTGACTACAAATGCGAAATTGGTCAATTAATTTGATATACTCCTCCTATTGTATTCACAGAAATCTCCTAAGAAGCGCACCCCACCCAAAGAGTCCTCTGCTACTGCCCAACCCAAACGGAGACGATCATCTGAGAAAGATGCCTCGGACAACGAGACAGCCAATGGTCAGTCCAATAGGAAGTGCTCTTCCAGTGACAATGAAGGACCCCCACCCCTTAAGGACCCATTTTGGGATAACCTAGAGAAGGGCCTGATCACATTTGATGGGGACATGTACTCCAAGGTCAAGAGCCGGCGAGCCACCTTGGATGCTAAGAGGAGCGGCCAGTCCACAGAGAGCGCTGGCAAAGACCCAGACAAGCAGCAGCAAGAATGGGCCATGTCCAGAGAGAGGACCCAGAAAGTTATCCCCAAGAAAGAGGAAGTAAAGGATGGTGATGCAAAGGAGGAAGCTACCCCAGACAGTGTGGGAGATGTCAAGCCCAGCCTGGTCAAGGATGAGCCCTTTCTGGGAGAAGGAGAGATGCTACCGGAGGACATGTACTCAAAGGTGAAGAGCCGGCGAGCCTACCTGGATGCCAAGAAACTAGAGGCAGCCAAGGAGGAGATGAAGCAAACCAAGAAGACCAAGAAGGAACACAGGCACCACCGTCACGGCCACCATCGCCACAAGAAGTCCAAGAAAGACGGCACCCGCAAACCCAAGACCCTTATCGACCTGGAGGCGATTGGGTCCCTGGAGACGGCCACCCAGAAGACACTCAGTATGAGCCCCTCCATCCTGGAGAGGGAGACCAATGCCGCCAACCTTTTCCACACACCCGACTCTTGCCTGTCTGTGGAGGAGGTACTGACTGTAGCTAAGCTGGAGGAAAAGACCAGGAATGGGAACTATGGGCGACAGCTCTCGGGTCAGTCGGTGGAGGAAGATGGAGAGGGAGACAAGATAAGGAGAGTGCTACCACTGCATTTGGAAACAATGGGAAGTACACCATCCACTTCTCAAGCTGTGAGTGCCTCTTCATTGTCAAATCAAGGATTTCTAAGGTTTCCTGTTACAGACAACACAAATGTGTTCTGAATTGAAGTCAACTCCAGTGTACTGTTTATTTTGGGGGGTGAAACATGTCTGGAGAAAACTCATGGACATACATGATGTACATTGTTTCAGAGCCATATAAAGAATGGGATGAAACTGTGAAAATGACTCTAAATGCAACATCTCGATAGCGAGGCATTTCAGTTATTATGATTCACTTGCGGAACTCTTTATGTTGGATTTCCTCTTCTTTTTTTCTTGCATTCTAGTATGGGGATGCCTACAGAATCACATTATTTTTACATGAAAGATTGTGATTATTTGTCTTCAGGTTCCTCTGACACCCTCAGCAGACAGCAAGCCAATTTTTCAAGGTGTGCCTCTTCAATCTACCTCACACCTATCACCCCAGGGTCACTCTCCAACCTTCCACCCCACGCCAAACTTTCCACCAGTCCCTCTAGCTGGTGCTGGCATAATCCCAGACACGCCAGAGTCCCCTGACGATTCTCAGAAGGGGCCGGGCCCCTCCGTGTGGAAACCATGGGAAGTCTCCAGCCAGTGCAGCATCAGCAGTGGCAGCGGCAGTAGCAGCAGCAACAACAACGGTAGCGTATTGGTGTCCAGTGCTGAGTTGGCTGTCCCAGAGTGTTGCACGATGGGAGCGCCCCACCCTAAGGACAGCGTCCGTGATCTAGGCCAGGACTTGGCTGACAAAGTGTCCCTCCAAGCCAAAAATGTGGTCAGCCCAACCCCCAAAGAGATTCCTCGCACCACTACCATCCTTTGCAGCTACAACAACACTGCCAAATTCTCTGATGCTCCTGCGATGGCATCGACAGAAACTGCCATAACTCGAGATGCTGCCTCGATGACCCCATTGGACACACTGCCGCCTGCAAACACAGTCAAAGCCATGGATGTGGCACCAGTGTTTGGCCACTCAAAGCCTTGCAGTTTCAAGATGAAGGAACCCCAGAGGACAGCTCCAGTTCCGGACAAGGTACCTGCCTGGCTGGAGCTGCAGAATTTTGTTGAGAAAGATCCCATAATGATGGGTCACTCTGCTAAGAGGAGCGGTCAAGAGAAGGCTGCAAAGCCGCCAGACATGGCTTTGCCCAACGTGCTACCTTTGAGCCCTTGTGGCCAACCCACTCAGGGCATCTTTTTGGGCGAGCACCATCAAGGGTCAGTAACCGAGAAGAACGCAGATGGGAAAACATACCCAGCAGGTCAGCTGAGGAGGGATGTAACGGCTTGCAAAGCCAGTAGTGAAAGTATGTATATATGTACATGTACCTTTTTCCTAAGTCACACTGGTGGCTGATAAAAATGTATTCTCTTCCTTAATGTGCAGGAATATACACGTGAGATCTAATGGTCTGACTGACCCAGTTCTACATGTAGTGTGCATTAGGCAAAGTACTTATACATTCATGTAAGGTACATGTATACATATGAAACTTAAGACCAAACTTTTCAGCGCGCTAGGTACTCAACGTACTCATCTGCTTTGGTCTTGTCAAAAGGTTGAGTGCATGCTTCGTGCTTTCATCTTTCTGTACATGAACACTTTTGGTTTGCACATGTTTTTGCTTGTCGTGGTGTGGTTTGCATACATTTTTCTGCCATGTTTTGCTTGTGTATATGTGTAATGTATACAGAGAAACACCATAAACACCATAAGAAAGCAGGTACTAAGCCATCCCTTAACCCAACCAAGAAAGACCGACCTTCGGAAAAAAGCCGTGCCTCACATGACATGAAGACAGAGCGCCCAAAACCCACCAAGAAGAAAGAGAAATCCAAAAAGACCAAATCCAAGATAAACGTAGGGGAGTCCAAGAAGAAGAAAACATACTCTGTCAGAGGTATCTTTTGGCAAGTCTCTTAAAGAGGAAAGGTTTCATTTGAAGCCTTGTTAGTTTTTACATGTTTGTTCTGAAGTTGTGAACTCACCCAGTGCACAGTTTGTATTGAAATTTATGTTTAGGGGAGAATTCCCCTTTTTGTGTCATTTCTTTTTCAGCACCAACCAAGAAAATCACTGTTTAAACTGTACATGTACATGGTATATGAAGAATCACATTTGCCATGCTTTTACAAGTACTGAAGAGTTACTTTTATCATGCTTTTATATATGCACTTTGAAGTCATCCTTCCCTGAATCCCTAGCCCAATGTTTATCTGTTGAAATCCCATTAACAACTATTACTGATAAGAAATGACAACAGTAGTGTTGTGGGTAACACATTGACATTTGACAAGGGCTTGAGTTTGGGTATGTACATGTACCATACATGTACCACTCCAATGACGGTCTCCAGGACTACTGGTACTTGTCTGGTCTGTGACCAGTTTATGTCTCCATGTATTATATGTTAGTTTAGGGATGTGATTTCAATTTGATTGCTTTTGATAAATTTGATTTTTTTTCCATTAGTGTGCATGTAGTTTGCATGCTGTTTTTTTTAATCATATTTAATAAAAAACTTGTTTTTTGCAATTTAAACTAACGCATTTTCTTGGTTTTATAACTAATACATTATACATTTGTACTGGTACATAGACTGCTGCATTACATGTAGCTGTACATGTACCAGTGTTACACAAGTACAGGTGTACGTGTGGGGTACTGGTCTGTAACATACATGTATTTGAGGTGGAGCAACTTGGATTGCAATGTTCTCTGTCAATGTGTTGCTAACTCTACACTGTGGAAGTTTTGTGCGGTCTTGAAAATGGTGAAAAACTATATACATGTGTACATGCACAGTGTACAGTACTTCTCAGTTTAAACAGTTTCAGCATTTCCATAGTTTTTGTCATGGATTTCCTCATTGAAAACAGAAGTACATGTAGATGATGGGTTTTACAGGATGAAATTCGTGGACAGTTGGGAATGTACAGGTGCATGTTTATTGCACTTATGTGTTAAATTTGAGGTGTACATAAATTTACATGTGCATATGGAACAGGTACCGGTACACATACACATAGATACTGAACAGACTCTTTGTTGTTTTGTTATTGTTGATGAAACTACAGTGTACATTTAGTTTTTAAAAAGTCAGCCTTTAATTTATCAAAACTGTTAATCGAGAAAGGAGGGTAATTGATCAAAGGTAAATTGTAAATTGTGGACCTGTTGCTTTGCACTGGTACGTGATATGGGTAAATTCAGATATTAGGGGTCCAAAAATGTGGCATTTTTGTGTCCCTGTTACATCTGACCTTTGTTATTTGACATGGAAATATCACCAGAATTAATTTCAAACTATTTCGATAATTATGTTTGGCAGGTAATTTGCATTAACTCATCATTCCTGGAAATTAAAAAATGTGTTCTGAACTTACAAAATCGTATGTCGGATTTGACAGGGACATGAAAAAACAGACCCCAGTTTCTGGAATTACCCACATACATGCACTACACGTACATGTACATGCACAGTACATGTATATTTGTTTGCCCACAATATTTCCCAAATATTTCATTAACCTGCTTTCGTTTTATGTTGCTTTTTGTTGCTTGATTTTATTTCATTTGCCGTGTTTCACTGTTTGCTACTTGTAGAAAGTGCTTCGCTTGCCAAAAGCATTCTGCAAAGTGAGCCGTCCCTTCCTAGTGAAATAGAGGAATTGCTTGCACGGGCATGCCCTAAGCAAGGTATTGATTTCATCAGGAGAAACGGGATCATTCTTTCCACTTGATTTGTGTTTTTAGCATGGCTTGTTTTGCTGTATCGTAAAGTGTAGACTTTAGTGTCATAGTAGACCAATAAGCCTTTTGCGAGTGACCTTTGAATAAAATCTGGTACTCTGAGTTCTTTAAATTCATGGAACGTAATACATGTAATTTGAATTCTCCATTCTAAAAACACTGTTGCTATACCTCATGATTTAGGGCAAGCTTAGTTACGTAAGAGACGCCTTGCACCAATACACTGTTCTCAATGGAAAAGAAGGACACAAAGGAACCAGTCCATTCCAGAGATCGATGGTGGTCGCTATGCAAAAGCTTGCCCCGAATCATGGGTTTTAGCAACAGCGTCTTTAGTCTTGGGGATTAAAATTGTTACGTTTGTGTGCAATCAAATAACTCAGTGTACTAGATTTCATTCAAGTTTAAGTCGCAAATGGCTTATTGCGCCCGCTACATGTAAGTCACGAACCTACATGTACCAGTAGAGTGGGTATTGAATATCCACAAACATGGCATCCACCCAAAGCAAAGTGTTTCATAAGCACAAGTATCACTTACCTGTACCAAAAATTAAACTGACGGTACACTGTAGGTACCCGTACCATACTTAAACCACTGATGTGCCGAGTACTATACCATAACTTGTCTGTATTGTTTGTAAACAACACTCAACACACACATATTGCTGTGTTGTTGATACGCACTGTACATTTAGGTCACATGACTTAGAGGGTGCAATCAGTCTGTGGAGGTTTTACATGAATATACTGTTGAAAAGAACTACATTTTAACTTTGTACGTGTACAAGGATCCTGCCAAACCAGACATGCCATATGTTGAATTAGGGCTCATTTCTGCATTGTTGCCGTTCAACAGCTATTGCACAAAATGAAATGCATAGTATTCAGTCATCATAGGCCATGCCGAGTACGTACATTGTGTGCAAGGTAGTGTTATGCCACTCTCTATCCACCAAGTCGCATTGCAAGCCACATTGCACATGTACATGTATGCAGGCGTATTCAAGTAAACTGTCACAGATGCATTCCTCCGTCTGATTTCATCTTGTTCATTTTTACTCCTAAACTGGCATTTGAATGACTGAACATGAATTCTGGCATAATTTGAGTGTATAGCACGGGTACATAGTAAATATTGCACATGTACATGTATACATGTACGTGTGTGGTACGCGTTCCGGTATCTGAAGCGATGCGCATGCGTCTTTTTTTTTGTGTGCTGATGTTGAGAGCTTTGCTTTTCCAGGTGGTATCCAATTTGATTTTGAGGAAGATACTTCAACCGAAGAGCCTTGGGCCAAACCAGGACTGTCCCCCATCATATTGTCCAATGGTAAGCGTATCGTAGATTTAACATGCCATTGGCTCATGCTGCAGGTTCATATTCTCGATGTGTGTGGCCACTCCTGTCAAGTGAGGAAAAAGAACTGTCATCTCTACCCACATTTTGGGCTTTAGTACTGTGCACTTTTGGAAGAAGTAACTGAGATTCTTCTTTCTGTAAATCAGGGATCCAAAAATGTGAATTTTCTCTTTGTTAAACCTGTCCTGTGTCATTTACCTGGAAATATCAATGAAATCAACTTCAAATTACCAGTATTTTGGTCTGTCAAGAAATTTGCAGTGTTCAATCACTCTTGGAAATCAAAGAATGTGTTCTAAACTTTCAAAATCATATGCCATTCCCTTGTAGATGCCCTGAAACAGGCCGTGAAAGACGGCCTGACTGAGCGCGTGCGGGAGGCCCTGTGGCTGAATGGCACCCACGACCTGGAGCAGCAGGACCCAGCCTGCGGCACCACACTACTCATGCAAGCGTGCATGTACCGACATGATGAGATTGCGAAGCTTTTGATTGCCAATGGCGCCCTGGTCAACATCGTGCAGACCAAAACCGGATTGACCCCTCTGATGTACGCTGCAGATTTGGTAAGACTTCACAAAGTTGGACTATAAATGCTGCCCCTGGTGGTCATTTGTTCAAGGTTTACATAGCACTTCTTACCACGTTGCATTTTCAAAACTCTGCTGCCAAGTTCTACACACTTGTTCTACTTCCATAACCTGTTTTGAGTCCTGTGTGAAATCACTGGAGCTTGAGGACAAGTCTAGACGTCTGGCAGCACTACATATGGAATTCATTGGCACATGTTAAATGTCCACCATGATTAAGTTTAAGATTAAGGTAGGAGATTGAGGAGGATGTAGGAAGGCCCCTGATAAGAATAATGAGAGAGTAGGATAATTGTCATCTTGAAAAGGACTACCCAGAATAAAAATCTGAAATTGTTCAGATTATGAGGTGCTCATTTGTGGAAAGAATAAGGGGAAACTTTAGTTTGCTTGCTTCTGTAGTTGGTCAGGAACTGGCATCAGAGGACAGGAGAAAAACACAATAATTTCATTCAATTAACTACAGTGGGTTATCCATGGAAATTGGGCAGTACAATCAGAATGTGAGTCTGTTCCTCTGTGGAAGAACAAGTGACTCTACTCACTGTGACTCTACACCTGTAGTTTTTATGAAACATTGATTTAACTGCATGCTTGTGTCTTGAATGCAAAGGAAGCATTTTGGTAAGAGACAGTCAGTTGACAGATAGTGACCATGGTGGCTGTGATTGTTTACAGGGGTTCTACAACACAGTCGCCATCCTCTTGGAGGCTGGTGCCCATGTCAATCTACAGCAGGCTACAACAGGAGAGACTGCCTTGATGAAGGTACGGTATTTGTAATATCTGATAGGTAGGAGTATGCTTAAGAATGTCTTTGTGCTTTTGTGACAGTTCCATGTAACCTTAAATTATGAAAAGTAACCTGATTTTTTATGCCATGTATGACCTGTCACAAATGGGACCTGCCGGTATGACCACTCTAGATCAGTAACTGTCCAGCTACTAATACGAGATCACCACTCATTGTAAGTGAACACTGTCTGAACTAAAAATCATCGACATTTATGGAAAAGGCTTGTAAAGATCATGTTGTTATTTTATTTATTACCCATTGTGATGTTCATATTCCAACAGGCTTGCAAAAAAGGTCATGCCCAGATTATCAACCTGTTGTTAATTTTTGGAGCCAACTGGGCCGTTACCACCCCCTCTGCCAACACGGCCTTGGAATTTGCCATCCTGTATAAGCATCCTGACATCTACGACATCGTAAGCAATCACATTAACAGGTGAGACTGCTTGATTTTTTTTCTATCAGTAGTGACAGAGAGAGATTTGGTGCACACTCTTGTCTGGAATTAGCTTTGTGCAAAATTTCCTGTAGGTGGTCTGTGCTATGGACAAGTGCACCAACCTTGATATCTTTTAAAACCCAGGTTGTATAAACCTTGTGTGATCTGGGCCAGGTCCACCCAAGGTTTGTCCCTCTCTGAAAAACAGAATTAGCGGCATTTGGGGGGGGATGGGGAAGGAAGCAGTAGTTGGCACAATTCAGGAAAAATTAGTACTTTCCCCCAAATCTCTGAACTGCACGAGAAGAAACAAATGCACATGCCAGGTACACAATGTGTTAATTTAACTAGTGTGTTCACATGTTGTGTTCCATAGACTGGATTAAGAGTGGTCACAGAGTATCATCTTCTGACCAGGTTGAAATCCAAGTACAGGAACCTCATGTTTCCGTGTGTTTTGAGCATACATCGACACTGCTGGGTTTTCTTCTAAACTTTGCTTTTTCGGCTTATTATGTGAGTGTGGGTTTAGACTACAGTCCTTGCCATTGGCATGCTTTCACTTGATACATGCATTAGCCATGTAAAGAAAGAGATGTTTTGCTGTTCTCTTTTCTGGTTGAGGTTGGAGGCAAGTATTGGCATTAATGCATTTCTTTGTAGCACTTTCTGTTTTTTGCCCAGGGTTGTCTGTGGTATTGAAACTCTTGGCTCTTCTCTTTCCAGGGTGGTCATGCAGTTTGAGAGTACTATCAACCAGTACCTGTGTGGCACAGCCAAGCTCACAAAGCCAGTGTTTCCCTTGCAGTGCTTCCGAATCCGCGAGAGTACTGAGCACCATATCTACCTCAATCACGACTTCAGACAGTACTCTCACAACCAAGGTACAGTAGAGTTGGGGGGGGGACAATTGTGTGGAAGGGCCTGTGGCCAGATCTTGGCCAGTGCATTAAAATAGTTGCTCGGTAGCCTGAAAAGGTCACAGTATGCACATAACACAAAACTAGAAAAGATCCCTTTCATTTGACTGGTGAATTGTGAATCATGTGACATGATGTAATGTTGACCAATGCATAGTGCACATATCAAAAGCAGTGCAGAAGAACCATGGAAGAGCTTTTTTCAAACAAACCAACTTGTGTCTCGGTGTAATGTCTTATTTATTGAGCCGTCTATGCGTCGTTGTGGAAGTGGCCAATGCAAACAAAGCCTTGTATAAAGAACATTGCATCATAGGTATTACCATTTTGGGGACCAACTGGCAGGTGTATGCACTTGTGCCCACGGAGAGGGCAGTTCTCAATGTTGATGATGCTGGGCCGGGATACTTATCATGTTTTTTTTCTTTTTTCAAAATTCTTTTAAAAGTTCCTATTTTCATTTACTGGACACTTACAAACACGTGAAGGACTGTCTGGTGTCAGCCTGACAGACAAAATCTATTGACGCTTGAGTATTTCAGCCAGGCCTGCAGCCTTGTAAAAAGAGCCCAGATTGTGCAGTGTTATAAAACTTTCTTTTATTCACGAACCTGGCTCAGTGTGCTGCTGACCTCTTTTCAATAGGGGCCAGATTAGTATGCAGGGGTGCTGTGGGGCTCATCGCTGCGGTGGTGGAGCGCTTTTGTCCCCAGTGGTAATCCGCTCGCTCTAAATGCCCCAAACCGTGGTTTACTGTTTCAAAAGCAAGGCTGGATTATCTCCACTTTTGAGAAAGAAAAAATTGTGGCAATTCCCAGCAGCCTGGTCTTTTGTTCTGAGTACAGTCTTTTGTTACAAGGCCCTGTTCCCTTTGTCCGAGTTCAGAGACCTCGGCCATGCATATAGAGCATACGTGTCCAGATCAGGAATCCCCGGCATGGAGCGGTTAACAGCACAGATCAAACTTTAATCAGACTGAACGCTTTCCAAAAATATGCCTGTTTTAATCTATTACCAGCCGGGAAACATTATGAGCTTGTGCATTTGAATTGACTCTAATTGTTAAACATTCTTTGGACTAGTGTAGAAGATATCCGAAGTGTTTATTGGCACAAGAATGGAAAGAATGTTCAAGTTGTGTGTTAACGGCGCATATACTAATGTTTACAGGTTGTGGGAATGTGTTGTTCATCGGCCATGCACATCTGGGCTTGAATGGGCTGATGTGCAGACTGACCGGCCACAGCTTTGTGTACAAGGTGACACTGAATGGGCAAGACCTTCCCCAATTGTCTCAGGTATGGCATTGATGAGTTAGTGTGGATGACAGAAAAGAGCGGTGGTTCTTTGTACAGGTATCCGCACATGCTTTTGCAGTGCTGTTAGGTCCATGACATGCCCTGGCAAGTCCTTACAATGAACGTTATCTCGTTTCTGTCCTAAGGTTACTCAGATTGAACTGCGATAAAGGCATTTCCTGGTCATGATTTGTGTCGTGTTGCTTGTGACTAGAGATGTTTAGCTCGTGTGAAGGGCTGACTTTCAGAACTGTTCTTTTGACCCAAAAAAGCAGGATCTAAGACAGTGTTTAGAAATTAACAATACCAACTTTGCAGTGTAAGTGCAAGTAAGGCCTCTTATTCCCTTCAAAAGTATTTCTTTTGCAGTACAAATGAGATGAAATCAGAGAACTGTTCATTGAAATAGAAACAGTACACATGAATAAACGGCACCAGGCAATTCTTTTGCAAAGGATTTGCTTTTGCATTGCAAAACACATACTGGTACATGCACTGTGGGATTTTGACAAATTTTACTCGTGTATGATGTGTCCTAGATTTATAAAGAGTAGGAAAAGGAAAGTACCTGACATGGCAATTGAACCACCTTCTGCTTGAATGCCAGACTATTGTTCTACCAACTGATCTCTCTTGCCCTCTGCAGGCAATCTTAAATTTTCACAGGCCAGTGGCACTTGTATGTTCAAGGGACAGGATGCTCTGTCCTTGATTTGAAGGTGGATTGTACATTTCCTTTGTGATATGTCAACGTGCTGTGCATTGCATTATTTTTCCTCTGATTTTCACTTTCGGCACACAGGGTTCAAATTTTCTACTTTCGTTTCTACCGAAGAATGGCCGCAATTTGATAACAGTTAAGACCATCTGTGACCCCTACACAAAGGTAATTCAGAAATCCTTTCAAAAAACTGAGTTGTAATGTCTGAAGTATGTATGTAATTTTTAGTTCCCAATATTTGTTTCATCTAAATGTTAGTGATCTTCATCTTTATGTTGTGGTTAGGCCTTCAATGCAGTTGAGCCTCCTTAGACCATAAACAAACATTTTTGTTCCCGTGGCCGTCATTGTGTCTCTCTGTCATTCCGTTGCAGATGCTGCTCCTAGTTGGTGCTTACTCGCTGCAAATAACGTCAGACGGACCTCAAATAGGCTTTTAAATGGGCACACTTTCTGGATGAAGGGACGACTAGCAGTAGTGTAGTTTTGGGCCCACCACTCCAGAAGTGTGTTGTCATGTTGCAAATTCTCCATCACATGTCTAACATTTTTAACATTTGTCTGCACTAAAGTGTTGGCTTTCTGTCCAATTTATTTTTGGCTGAGGTAAGAGAATCGTTGCAATTAAGTTAACGTGCTGAGAGTGTGTACATCTGAGGTCAGACTGATTTTGGTGAATCAAATGAAAGTAGTACAGATTCGTCAATTTTGCATTGACAGTAGCAGCCTTATTAAAAGTTGAACACTGATGTAGGTGACGAAAGGGTTTCTGTTGTGGTATTATAGACCTGTCACAGATGGTCTGTTAGTAGCCTGGAATAAACCGCTGAACATTTTAGCACACAGTTGTTTGTGCCGGCATTCCCCCACAGCGGATTTCATACACTCCCAGTCTTTCCACAGAAGGTCCCATGGGGAGTCTGAAGTCTCTCAAGTACAGATTTCTTTAGGCATGGCTGCATGGGGAGTTGTTTTAGAAAAGTAGGCTAGACAGCTGTCACAATTGCAGTTGGGTCCAGCAAGTATGAGGACATGTCACAGGGTAAGGTAGAACTTTAATGTATGTCTGAGAAACTAGATTTCATGGTCTGAGTGTTAAGTCTGGAGATGTGTTGGAACACAAACTGTTGGACCAGTGTCCAGGCACATGTACACGTACCATTTTCATTAGGTGCTGGGCTTGGTCCCACAGTTTTCTCCATGTATCTTACACACAAGTTACTATGTCGGGTACCATGCTCAGCCTTAACATTCCTACTTGTGAAAGTACTCAGTCGACATTGCAACATCAAGAAATTCTTCCTGTACCATCCTAAAATGCGTATTTTAGTGTACTTGGTAAGTCAGAAACAAGGACTCAACTGATGGGAAACAGAAGGTACGAGCAGAGAGCTAGCACAAGATGGAATGTTGTGTTCCCTTTAGAGTGTTCATGCCAGGCTATATGTAGGTTTATCAAGGCTAGCATTCAATCTCAAACCTGTGGTGTTTCCAGCTCCCAGTGTAGTTGTTGTGGCTAGCACAGTAACTAGTTATGTTCCTCTGTAGCATGTACTTTTTCCAACTCCTTAGGGATAATACACAATAATTAGCTATTTATTTGTACATTTTTAAATTACCGATCATAGATCTCTTGTAAAATTGTAATTGTAAATAGAAGGACACTTCAGTTTGATTACTTGGTCTGTTCTATTTATTTTGTGTGTGAAGGTACTTGCTTGAGTTGTTTTTCTGAGTTTTCTTACAGTTTTTAACTAATTCCAATGAATGATGAAAATGTCTGATCTACATGTGTTTGCATGTACTGCTGATACATGTAAGCAAAAAAAATATCCAGTTTCGTCATTACATATCCTATAAGGAGGAACAAATATACGGAGCATTACTTTTATGTGACATAAGCTGCATTGGACAGTTTGCCCTAGTACGGTACGTATTGTATCTGTAGTTTTCACAACCACAGAGATCTCTTTTACGCTTACATTTTTCATAGAAAAGTACTCCTGTAATATTTTATAATTGCCCAAAAGCCAGGTGCTATATCTTGTATACGATGCAGATTGCAACTATATGAAGCCATTTTTACGTGCACGTACATATGAACTGTGGATCTGCACACTTTTTGGGTGGAATTGGGACCAAATGACAGACGAGCATACCTATGCAAAGAAATGAAGACACCTTGTTATTCGACAAAAGTGGGGTCCAATGCAAAAGAAATTGTAATTCACACAGTGCCAGGGTTTTGATCAAGTTAAACACAGTTCATATCCCAAGTCAGGGCAGCACTGGCATATCCATGTAGTAAGTTTGACAGGACTGGATTCAGAGAAAACTTCAGTTGAAAGTATGAAATTTAACAAAAGTGTAAAACTGCCATTTGAGACTGTGTTTGAAAATACAGGTTTCAAGGAAATCAATAAATGATATAATTTTGTATTTCAAAAAAAGCTGCCAGATACAAGACATAACATCAACATCTGGACCTAGTTATGGTACGCACTGACTTTGAATTATATTTTTACTTGACTACTTTGCATTAGCAAAATACATGTACAGTGTAGTCTGATTTTTCTGCAAAAGGTCGACTACAGCATGACAATCTCACACAGGTTATGGCTGAGGATGTGGCTAGTTTTATTGCTGCCATTAAACTACATGTACAGGTATATTGCATAGCCCTATCCACTTTGATGATCCATTGTAGCAGTAACTACACTCTTATAAATTGCCATATCGACCTCTCTTTTTCCACCTCTCAAGCATCATTTTTTGCCAACCTTGGTTGGCAAAACTATTGCAGGCCATAAGTACAAAACCGAAGGAGCAAATCTCATGCAAATATTAAGACACTAAATTGTAAATAATTCAATTGAATACTAAATGATCCTCCAAGTTTAACACAGATGACGGAGTGTGCATATTGAGACAGAAATTGTTGCCAACAAGACTGAAAATCTGAAAAGTTTAGCCACCAAAACAAAATAGAAGCAAAAGAAAAGTCTGTGTGGACGGTTGCCCTATGAGGAAGTTGAAGGCTGGTACCCATAACATCGTCAGCTAAATATGTAATGATCTCTGCTTACATCCTCTGGAAATAGGTCTAAGGTGGCAAATAGTACAGTAACTCAACAAAGGGCCTACATATACATATCTGTGACGTATTAAACACAGAATATTATCGTCAGTCTGTGACCGTCCGTCCTCAACATCACGTTGTGTTTTATGTAACAACTTGCTGCATTTCGACATACTTTTGTACATTTTTAAACAACCATGCTGCACCCCATACTGCAGGTTTCATTAAATTTCTGAGCAATTTTTGTTTCTGCTTTTATACTTTTTTGAAGTTGCTCAACCATGCTTCGATAAAACAGGGTGCTTCATAATGAATATTTTTAAGAGCTTTTCAAGAATTGGTAGAAAGAGGCCCACTAACATGCACTCGAAAGTAAAGAGTAGGTAATGTCATAAATCTGACATCCATGGTCCTGATATTCTTCGGTTGTGTGAATACTACAAACTAACAAAATTCCCCCGGTCAACTAAATTTGTAATCTTTGCCCAGGAAGAACTGATTTTTGTGTGTGCAATTGCTTAAGAATCCAGCTTAATTCAGTATCAGCATTTTAATCGGAGAAAGGGCCCAGTGCAAAGCTCTGTTTGCAGTTTGCTCAAGATTACATTCACTAGAGCTTTAAAGTTTGATTCTGACAATTACATACAGTGTACGCTCGGAGCTGGAGAGTTCACAGCCTTTGATCAATCTCCCCTTGAGACATTGGAAAGTCAAACAAGTTGTGTTCTTTTTGGGGGTGTCTTTAGAATATGTGTTGTTACGTCTCCATTGTCAAAGCTGAAATTTCACACCAAAGACATGATTCTTCAAACTATTTTTCAGTACATTTCCGAGAAAATTCATACTTGCCTACTCTTAGTTTTGAGCCCAAATTAGTACAAAATCAAACAGTTACAGGAATAGTTCTTGACGCGTGCAGAAACCTTAAAGTTCTTTGGAAATCTCCTAATGACTTATGATTACATAAAATGCTGCAGTTTTGTGATCTTCATATAAAGCAGAGTACTGTAACTGTGATATACATTTTTGTAATGTGTGTAGCCCGCAGTAAAGTAATATATAACAAACTGTTCCAAGTCAATGCAAGTAGAGAATTTTATAGTGTTGTATGTGTACTTGCACTTGAAGATAAGATGCATGCCAACATAATCCCATATTTAATGAACTTAATCCTAAACCTCAATCCTCCAAATCCTTCGGGCAGTTTTGGAAGATTTTTGAGGTTTCAGGGTGAATGGCAAAAGTATATGGCTGATTGCGAAGGATGCCATGCGTGAAGGTCATAGGTTAGACCTTGTGTTGTTTTTTCTCAGTCATGCATAAATTCAGCCCGTTACTTCTTTTGAATCAACCGCACTGTTCAATAATGCCATTCGCATCATCTCAACATAATGATAGGAATTGCTGGAGGATTTTGAAGGATTGACACTGTAGGCACACCTCAAAAGTAACATTTGCAAGAAATTTTGGAGGGAGACTCCCATCTTTCACCCCCCAAATCGGAGGAGAAATTGAAAAGAGAATCCCTAGCAAAAAAAGGGCGTGGGGGGTTAGGGTAATGAACTGTTCTATTCAACTCCATTGTTAATTTGGGGGTCTTATTTGGTACAGATACATGTACCTCCAGATTTGTTCTCCAATGATATGCATACTTGCAAGATCTTAACAGATGTTTTGATGTGTTACTCTCCAACATACAGACATTTAGAAAGTAAAGACAAATTTATTTTATTATGATTAAAAAATATGCCCATGATTCAGACTTTGTAATTCTGTTCTTTTTATCCAATATGGATTAAGGTATTTCAAAATCAATATCTGTGTAAATGTTGTACATTTTATATACTTGGGTTGTTATTACATATCAACAGTATTTGATTTGCTGCCATGACAGCTACATAGAAGTGGAAATAATTGCCATGAAAACGTTGGTGTCATTTGTGTAGAATACCTTTATTTTTTGTTTTTCAGATAGAATACCATGTAATAAGTGTAATTGCACCTGGTGTGTAGATGATAAATTACCTGATTTTCTCAGTTCAGTATTGCAGTAGTACAAAGAAAGTGCCCTCCCTATTTGTTTGGTTCCAGACTTAATTGTTGCGATCACTGTAAGTAATCCTTAACTGACATACACTAGACTTTCATCTACGTTGTACTATCTAAACATTAGTGCATTGGTTGTAAAAAAATATGCTTACTCTTTTTGTTTGTAGTTTGTAAATTTATGTAGATGTATTACAAGTGGAGTAATGTCTGAGAAATAGGCTGGTGCCTGTGATGAGTGACTCTTTACAGTGATATCCAAGGTAGAGTCTGAGAGTCATGTAACATGCGCGCGCACCTTGTGTCATTGACTTTTGACTGCAGCCACTTCAAGCAGGCTGTGTGTTATTTGGGGCTTGCAACCTGTCAGGCACATTTGTCACCAGAGAAACTGGTCAAGGAAAGCAGTGGCGGAATTTGTTGAACACCATATTTGGTTTTTGGCTTTTTCCCTCATTTGCGAAGAAAAAAAGTTGGAGGGGTGATGACAAGGGAATGTAAATAGATCTGATAGTTTCAGTGTTAATGCTTGTACATGTACATGTAGATCATGTTGAATGGTTTGTGGAGAGAATGTGGAAAATATGAGAAAAGCAATTGTTCATAGTCTTGTAAAAGCTTCTGTAAGTTTGGGGGAAAAGTCTTTATGAAACTTGAGAGCAATTGGAAATATATTAGAAAGAGGTCTAACTGTATGTGAAAAGTGTACAATGGTCTGTGGATCCAGAAAGAATTCTATATCTAGATGAAAAGTTTATGAAAGTCACTGTATAGGAGTGTACCTCTAGATTCATGTAAAGTACAAATGTATTTTAGATGTCCATGGTTTTTTTGTCAGAGATTTTTAGTCCAAGCAGCCTCACTAGATACAAACTTTGCTAGGCTAAGTGTTCTGTGTCTGATACGGAGCTTGGGCCACAGGTGCAGTTTTATGAAGGGTTGTAACATTTCCTGGCTGCAGCCAATCTTTTAGCATTGCAGTCAGCTTGTGCCTGTAACATGGGACATTTTTTAAAATTAATTAAGCCCAAGAATGAAGCTGCATGGAGTGAAAGGACGTGCAGTGCTAAAGCAATTGCTTTCTTCGCTATGCACCAACATGCTTCTTTTTTTAAACGCACATTTCCAGTGGAGTTTTGGAGCTAAGTTCCATAGCTATACCATTTGAACAACCATTTGTATGCTTGTTGAAAATGCATAGATGGTTGTAATCTTCCTTCTTATTGGAATTGACTCAAATCTGGCATTCCAACTTTGCATTTACAGAAGCATGTTGTGTGAGATCTTATAATGTTCTAAAGCTTCACTGATTTTTTTTAGGGGGGGACATCAGAGTTTCTACATGGAAAGGAATATTTGGATGGGATCATGTAGGGGGATAGGGGTAATGTGTTAATTGCACTTCCTGCTGGTGCATGAAGTAATTACAAAATGCCAGTGGTGTATTCAATACACTCAGGGTCAGTTGCCAAAAACAATCTGCACCTGAGTGTGGGGAATTAGGGAGGGAAGGGAAGTTGTGTTCAGATATATGTGCTGGTGATGGAACAGTTCAGCTGAAGATGTATTCTGCTTTGAATAGACGGAGGACTTGTGTTTTGTCTCTGTTTTGTTTGTAAATCAAGGCTTAGCCACAAACAGCCTGGGCCCATTTTACCAAGAACGGCAAATTTAAAGAATGGAAGACTTTAATATTGTCTGATGAGTTGATGGGTGGAAAAAAATACTTGAACGAAACTGCCTGTCAGCCACAACATGTATTGTTACTTCAAGCTGTCAAGCAAAAGTAGGCTGAGTGCATAAAAATATTTAGAGGAAGGATAGAGGAGGCTTTAAATTTGCCTAGGTAACAACAATTACCTGACAATGACGATGGGAGGTACTGGACTCTGTACTCCTTAGCATTCTCCTGAGCTAATATACAAATGTTAGTCTGAGCCTACTTGACAGATCATCAAAAGCAGTCAACACTTTCATTGGATGTACATTTGCTCCCCAGAACTCTTCTGCACCCGGCAACTTTGTGAAATGGACCTCAGGTGTTAGGAAAGCTAAGGGAACCCCTCCTGTTATTTGTCCTGTGCTAAATACAGTTTCTCAGTGATTGTGTAACTAGCGCTGTTTTATACACCACCTAGTTGTTGTTAGATCTTACTTATTCTGTGATACTTGTCATAGACAAGATGCTTGTGTTAAGGTGGCTGTTGTGAAATGGCCTGTAAAGTTTTAATTCATGCCTTTTTTAATGCAAATTCACACTAACGTTTGAAATCTCTGAGAAAGACCCTTTTTTATTGGTTCAGAATTGTCTGAATGAACATATGAACATGAAAGTGTATTCAACAGTAGACTGACAGCCTTAGGAATTGTTTTTCACGACTGGTTATGGTGTTTATTTTACATCTTTGAAATCTCGTATATATTTCCTGAGGTATTTCTGCATCTCCGACAGATTTTTTTTTTTTCAGTTTCACAAGAAGTGTGGTTTCAGAGTTGAGCAGCAGTTGTGTGTACTAAGAGGGCAAAGACAGGACCTTTTTCTTATTTGCTGTACTGTGAATACACAATATTGAAACCAGAAAGACAGTGCAGGCAATTCACAATGAAGTGCTTCACCAAGAGGTTGTCATAGAGAGGCCTTTTCGCAGGGCATTATGGGATGAATAATTGACAAAGTCCCATTCGCTAACTGTGCTGTGCGCGGAAGACTTGAATTTTTTTTCGAATGTTTATCCTACTTGAAACTTCAAAACTGCTTTTTGCAAATTTGTGTTACGTAATCAGATTGATGGTTTTCTGTGGTGAAGTACATGCCTCAATCCATCAAATATCCCCTAAGTTACTTAAGAAGTGCGCTTAATCGCTGAGGCGTGTGGACCGTAAACTTGAAAAGTGGCCTACTCTTGCTGGCGCGCTGTATTGCAAATCACTCATAATGAGTAATTTGGTTTGCCCTATTTTAATTAAATAATAAGTACAGTTGAATGAAATGAGCTTCAGCTTAATTACAAAGCATTTTTTCTAGTATGACGACTCCAAACAACGTCTTTTTGTGCTGTGTTGTCCAGAAAAGCAGTTTCAGATTATTTTGTTTGATTTTTAACCAATATGTCTTTTACCCTAACAACCAATACCAGTATTGTTTACTTCTCCATTTAGAGAACCTGACTTTTTTTATAGTAATACTAACCCTGTAACAGAATAAGGCTAACATTTTGGTTTCTTTTTTAGGATGTGTACCAGTAGTGCGCTGTGTTCGCACAACAAAAGATTGAAGCAAAATGGATTTTATAGAGCTTCAGAATCTGAAATGACATCGTCAATTTTTCGTTACCCGTTAAAGTTGTCATACTAGCTTTCGATGTGCAAAGTATAGATGGGGATTCAGGAGTATTTTTCTTGCAAAGCCGTAAAGGTCAATGCATGTGATGGTGACATGTCTTGTTAAGAAGCGTTCATTGTGAAACAATGTTTTGTTCCGCTTTTTCAGGAATTAAAACTCTAATTCTGCTGTGTGATAGAAGGATGTTGTGTTGAGAAGATACTCTTCCTTTTGACTGTGTGTCTTTTGTAAATTATCACAGTGCTTGGTAGCATGATGAGCCTCTTTAACTTCCCAAGGCTTTTTGCCATGGGCGTATATAAAAACCTGGACTTGCAATGCCTTTGTATGAAAAAGAAGCCAACCAGCAGCGATTTTACTGAGCCGAATACAAATGAGTGGGTTGGCTCGCTTCTATTGATGGCCACTAGTGGAATCAACAATCTCTATAAGCTAATTAAGGGCATTGCGAGTCCAGATTTTTTTTTTACATACGTCGGTGCATTTGCTCAGAACCAAATTCACAACACCTCAGAATGCAAATGGCACATTCATGGGCACTGCTAGGAAGGGGCCCCAGTGATATCTTCCAAGGGATTTGGGGGAACACTTATTTTACTTGAGTTCCAATGGGGAGCTGATCAATTAACTCTCCCAAATCCTGCACTATTGTCTCATCCCAAATGCCCTGTCAGTTTTGGAGGATCGTGGTGAGTTCGATAGACTGTACTTCATTCTGAAAGAGGATTTTGGCTGACAGCTAGGAATACAAACTGAGAATTACAGCCTATAATATGAACCCACTGGTTTGAGGCAGCAGCCATTTGCTTTGCATACACGTACATTTGAATCCTGACATTGCCACTATGAGGTACAATAAGCATGTGTTTGGTCTCGCGCAGATGTTTAAGTCTGCTAGAAACATTGGTTTACTGAAGGGATACCACCATAAAGTTTAAAAGAGGCATAAGCAACAGTAACTTCTTCAGGTGCAATTTCAAGAAGTAGCTGTCCAAGCATTTTGCTGTGATATCCACTCATATTGTCTTATTCTGAAACCTTAGGGCCATTGGCCACATAGAAAAGGCAAAGGTTGTTTATTCAGGAGTATGTGTGAAGTTTCTACCACCATTAGTGTCCCCAAGCTACATTCTTACCCATCAGCTAAACTTTTCCTAGGGCTAGTAATAAGAAAGAGGTTCCTTGGACACATAAGAACCCTAACTGTGAAACTGCCTTGTTGGATATAGAGGAGGTTTAATGCACACAGGCAAAACATGGAAGTTGAGTAAAAGGAAAAGCGAGAGCAACGAGGTCAGGGGTCGCCAACACGAGGACCCAATCACAACTACTGACGCAGTCACTTCGCTCTGTTGACTCATTAATCAAAGCCCTTTCTGAAATCTTCCTTTCCAGTTGACAGATCCAGTCCTTGGTTGTGGTAGCTGCATTTGCCACAAGGTTGCTTTGTAATTTGATACCAAACTCCTGTATGGGTGTACATGTATACATACCGGTATCTTTAATAAAAAATACTGCTCCCTTCAGGGTTTCACTGATCAAGTTTATTGCTAAATATCAGCAATATGCATGACAACTGAAAGGTACAAAATATTTTGGTTAAAATACGGATTGCACAAACTTTTTTATTTACAGGCATGTGATTAACATAATTAGATATCTCTACTTTGTGTAGGGAGAGACTTGGTGAAAACAGCATGCCAATTATATGAACCCCAAGGAAATTGTTTATGAGGCAAAACTCATTAGCCCCATGCACTCCACATTACTGAATTCACAAAACAACTTCAATTTGTGCCATCCTATGAACCCCAACCCTATGGTAGCTTCCTGCAGAGCCTTCTGAATTGTTCTCTTTTCTCTAAGCACTGTTCATGTACATTTGTACCATGTCAGCAAGGAAAGTGAGAAATACATATAGTTGCTGTACTTTTTCGTGTGGTAAATCTGTCATGTTAGATCCTCTTAAAGCACTGTAGTCGAATTTAAAGCAAAGGGAGGCAGTGGCCTGGCAATTGGTTTATTGGTTGGGGGGGAGGAGTTGACAAGTGGAAGAAAGCACCATCCCCTGGCATGCTTGGGATACCATTTAGTGACACGTTCACTGTACATTCCTCGAGTCCAGAGCAATATTGCTGTGTTAGGCAAAAGCATATATGTTGGGTATGAGGGGTCAGATAAGTCTGGCGCCTCATAATTCTGAAAATTCAGACTTTTGAGGCGTCGGACCTACGAGGCGTCAGACTTACGATACGCACCTGTGAGTGTAATACATTACTGTACATGAATTGGAAATTTCTGTACAAGGCTAATTCCAGAAATTAGGGGTCCAAAAGTGTGACAATTTTTGTGTCCCTGTTACACCTGACCTTTGTTATTTGACATGGAAATATCACCCGAATTAATTTCAAACTATTACTATTTGTTCCGCAAGTAATTTGCATCAATTCATCACTCTTGGAAATTAGAAAATGTGTTCGGAACTTACAAAATCATACATGTATGTCAGATGTGACAAGGACACAAAAAAGGACCCTTAATTTCTGGAATTACCCATAACACACACCAAAGTGATAAGAACATGGAAAACAAAAAAGACACACGTGAAAGGCACAGTAATATTACATTCTTTGTTGTAAATACATTCAATATAATGTCATGTCAAAACCCTCTTAAATAAGTCAAATTCAATGAATACATTTTTAAAACGAGTTGAACATGAGGTTGAGTTGCAAATACAAATCCCACAACTGTTTTGTCTTGGTACATTAACCTTCTTTGAGATTAAACCTGTCAGTAGACATTTTGCTTTGACAGATTTATTTTCTGTGCATGGTACATGCACACAGTTTTACAATGCAATGTAGTTGCTGGTGCATAGTTGAAAACGTTGACCTGATTGTTCATGTTTGGTCTTTTTCTACATCTAAGTGCCAGATTAAGTCACAGTAATTTTCACATCTTCTAATTTGATAAAGTTGTAAATTCATTGGATGTAAAAGGAATATTAAAGACCAACTCCAACGATGCTAACCTTTCTCATATTGAATCCTATTCGGAAGAACTAAGTCTAATAAAAGTGGCACATATCAATATCTCCCTTGCAATACACATTTTGTGACAAAAAACACAGTTTTTGTACCCATTATTCCTGCGAGTCCAGTCCGGTATTGTAAATATGGACGTGCCATTACGACTCATTAGCATCTTATGAATATTGATTTCTTTGACATACTACCGTGGAGAGATACCACAGTACATGCGCTATAGGCATGCATAGCCGCAAACAACAGCGCGAACTCGAAGAATGCTCTCATTCTTCAGACGCTGGAAGAATTTCAATCCCAGTTCTTTCACAGAATTTTTAGTACATCCACTGAGACACATGATTTTGGCATTATTGTAAGTCACAGTGCGGCACAGGAGAACCGGCACACAGATCGATCCCTGTTACGCAGTGCACACACGTACTGTTGCTCCATTTTCATGTTCATGTACGTTCGTAGCAGAACCAGTCGTGCCATGGATACCAGTTTCAATGTTTTCCCCGGTATTACATCATACAAATTTTGTTTCTCAATAGCACTGCCAGTGGTCAGATTGTGGAAATTTTTCATAAAACTCAAAGACATCGTTCAAAACTTTGGCACAATTACAAAAAATACAGAAGCAATACAGACAGGTACAATACAGGTAATGAATATAGGATTTATCACTCACTAAACACAATAATAGTTTTTTTCAAAACATATGAAATCATTTGAGTTGGTCTTTAATGTCCCCTTTGTAGTAAATATGGCAAGGTGGGCATAATAAAAAGCATTCTTGTATTCTTACAAATGGGTCATTAGAGAGACATTTTGTGGATTTTTTTTTACCTTAGGGAGACATTGGTCATTACGGAGACATTTCAATGTCACCCTAATGCCCCAGCTACCAGAAGGAGGCCAAATTTTGTCCAAATTTTGAGAGATGATAGATTAGGGTCTAAATTGAAAACATACAAAGTTTGGTTCAGATCAGATTAGGGAATATTTAATTATGGGACAGTAAAGTTTGTGCACATTCTTATGGGAATATCTCCCAAGAGACCCATTTTCAGTAATAAATAGTCTTACATGTATTTTTGAATGAATAAATTAATGACCTGAGTGTGACAGTGAACCAGGCTAAACTTTTCACCCTTTTCAGATCTTTGATAACAAGAATCAGTCTGATCATTGTGATGTGTAAATTGAGTTGGAGGAAACAACTTTAGGAATGGCAAGAAAAATTGCTGATCTGCTAATCCATAGTTTCAGATTGTTAGTTGGCAAGTTACAGTGGAAGGCTTTCGATACTTTTCTTCTCTTTAAAAGTGGAAAAACTAATGCTACAATAGAATTGCATTTTGATGATTTGACATTTCAGACTTCCTAGAGTTAACAAGACAGTATTAAATGGTTTTTAGTTAGCTTTTTAACTTTCTCATAACTTTTCTAGGATTGCTAACAATACTCCCATGATCTCATATACATCAGTGTTTCTGTTCAATCTCAATAGTTTACATGACTCCATGATTATTCCTAGATTTCCATGGGTTTGCCAGCATTTCCGAGAAACAAGAACTACTGTATTGCATATCATGTATGTGCTACAACTCAACCCACACAATGGTGGCGATCACAACTTTCCTGAATTCCGCAGAGAGTTAAGGTTAATGTTGTTACCCTCAAGTAGAAATTCTGAGTGTCTGCCAGCTTTGTCAAAGTGGTGTGTTCTTCAGCTCAATGCGTTTGTGGGGTGCCGGGAGCAAGGTACCAGTTCCAATGATGTAATGCTCCTTGTTGACAATGTAAACCTCCTCCCCTGAACAAGGAAAACAAGGAAATGACTTGGAAGTGCTTTGCCCATTGATGCGATACATGAATTCTCGGTACATTTTCACTGACAGTGACATAAAATTACTCTTATTTACCTAACCAACTAGATAATGATGTTTGATTCAAATGTGATGAGAATGGAAAGTAAGTAGGGATTATGGTTCTAGAAGGGGCAGGGACAATGACACGGACAACATAATGCCTGTGTCTTGGAGGATGAAAAATGCTGCCATTGTTTTTTTTGTGCAGTGGGAGCAAACACATTGAGGACGAGAAATTGTTTTAAGAATTACAACACTGTTTCCTTATTCATGGCACATTTTTATTACATGTATGTGTTCGTGTACATGTACCTGCATGTATGATCTCTCCGTCTCTTCTGTCCAAGTCTACTTTTCCTGCCTTTTCTTCTTCTGTGTGATCACCCCCTCTTGCTTCCAGACACTCCCTGTCTCCCGCCTCCTCCTTTGTATTGGTAGCCTGCCCCGGCTGCTTTCGCTGGCCATTAGAGGCATCATTGACCTCCTCTGCAGCATCGTTGGGCACGTTGTCACTGGTAACTGACGTTGGGGTTGTGGGGTTCACATAGTCTGCCATGGCCTGAATCTTCTGGATCTCGGAGAAGTACTGGACTGCCACTGGGGTACCGGTGATGTAGGTGCCACCGTCAGAGGGAATTACACTGGCTACAACACACTCACAGCCGAGACTTTCCAGTTGATGGACCTTTCAGAGATTCCAGAACAGCAAATTATGAGCAGGTAACAAATATTTTAAAAAGAGTCAAAACAAAAACACAATGAAAATAACTGCACTTTAAGACCTTCATATTATCTTCATTTGCTAGAGCAAGTAATCTTCTTTTCTGGAAGAAAAATACTGTCAAAACAGATCTATAAAAGTGTACCATAATTAGTGCCACACAAATAACAGTGAAGAATGATACACATGATTGGTAATTATGAACACACTACAACTCAAGCGAATTTCACTGCAAACATTTAGTGACATATAAGTTACTTTGCTTTCTTATTTATGGTACTTCAAGTATGAGTCATCTTCAGCTACTGATACACGGAACCAAACACATACAGATTGCTGAATTTGTTGCATTATTTTCTGAATCTGCTGTTGTCTCCACTCGCCTTCTTCAACCTCTTGATTTACTGTGGACCCTTGATTGATCACTAGTGGAATTGTCTCGTCCGGAAATCTGTCGACGCCTGTCGTGTTCAGGCCTGCGACGTGTAACTGTTGTGGGTGGGATGTGGACTGTAGTGCTGTGCTGGCAACCAGACAACTGCTTTTATCAGCGTCCAATTCCTGTTTTGCAGGGGTTGTCAGAAACATAGCCTGGGCGGTGCTGGTCCCAGGCTGCCCAATGCCAACTGGCCCCAAGCTTGGCTGGTTGACATTCGGATCTCGGGGGGCCAAGGGGGCATTCCTCACAGTACCAGGAGGGAGAGCATTGTGCAAACCAGGGCCGATAACTCTGGGTGCGGCACCCATCTGGTTGGGCTGCTGTCCCCCATCCGGTGGGTGGCAGATGAGATTCTGTGGTCCTCCAAAGGCACTGGTTGTCGAAAGGTAACGGCGTTTATTCTCGACTGACTGGTCATGCTGTAGCACAATGCCTGGCATGGGATTCCTCTGAGCACTTTCCATCCGGCGTTTACGACGCATGTTCCCAATCCAGTTCTAAAATAAATATAAGCAATCAATCTCCTGGGCTTATGTAAGATGTGCAGCACAAAAAATGGAATGTGGTGGATTAGAGCGAAAAGTTCTATTATTACAAAGTTGAAAAGTTGTTACCCTGACAATGTCAAAGTCCACCCCTGCCTCTTGAGCGCATGCAACTATCTTGTCCTGATAGGCCAAGCTCTGTCCATGCATGCCTTTCTCATAATGTTTCATCAAGATCCGCTTCTGCTCTATGCTGAAGGAATAGCGCATAGGAACCTGTTTCAGTGTTGAAAGTGGAGAATGTTGAGTGTTAATTTGTGTATGTTTAATAATAGTGATTATGTTTGTGTAAAGCACAAAGGATTTAACTTAACAGCTAACCTCCTTTGATATGGAATGAGAATGGCTAAGTGTACATGTATACATATTATATACACATACATGTACATGTATGCATCCTCTTCAAGAGAGTAATACCAGCAAGACTTCATTCAGCTGCCTTTATCCCAGACCAACAAGGCTCATGTTATTATCTCTTTCAGAGGTGATAGAATGAGCCACTGTACATGTACATGTACTTCTAGCATATGGCAGCTACATGTACTCTCAAAATTCTGTCATACCGGGACATGCACATGTATCAACATACAATCGTACATGTACATTTATGCATCATTTATAACTTCATTTACATGTAAGCAAAAGAAAAAAGTAAGAACTAAATTAAAAATACTCTTCAAACTTCCTGTTACATTGCACATGTACATGATTATGTGTATTCCTGTGTAGTTACAATTTTTGCATCCTAGTTCTGGGGGTCACTGGGGGTGGGGGAGCAGAAAAGGGTGTTAGTCCTTCCTCCATCTGTCCATAGTCATTCTAACATAAGGCTGACCTCAGACTCCAGAAAAAAAGAAAATTAATGCTACCCTTACATGTAAATCTAGACTAGGCCTAGCCTAGGCCCTAGTTGGGGAAAAAAGGAAAGAAAAATGTCAAAACATCACTGAACATGTGTCAAAGGAAACAACGACATAAAGGAAGATGTGGAAAAAAAGAAAAAGAAAAAAGTAAAAGTAAAGCACTGTAGTTTGTTTGAAAAATCCCAGTGAAAAATATGCTTTCATTCCCTAGCCCCCACCCCCCCCCGAACTCTCGAATTCGTCGTCGCGTCGGCCATGTGTCCGCTGCGCCGCGCCGCGACCGTGGTCACGTCAGTGGACATGATAGGCCTGTTATTCGCCGTGAAGCAAGTACACCGCACGAACACACAAAAGCCAATGTGACGTATCGATACACTATTTTACTTACTTTTTGAGGCAATGGGTTAAAAGAGGCCCCCTCGCGATCGGTCCGACTGAAGTCCATAACTTCCCACATACACAACGATACCCGCCCCCGTGATACAACAAATTAAATCTCGCACGAAATCTCCCAAATCAACCTATCAAAGATGGTGGATCTAAATCTATTTATCTAATCAATCATTACTATTACCCACAATGCAAACTGATACGTCTTTTTTGTAGCGCATTTTTACAGTCACTTGTGAAAAGATGCAAAACAAAGTAGGGCAATGTTTTCTGCCACCTTCATTTCAACAGTTACCCCCCTTTCCATCTCCGAATTAAAAGGAAATTATAAGTTTAAACTGGGCAGTCGTTCACAACAAAGTTGACGAACCTTCGACGCCTAATCGATAACTGGTAATCACAAACGCGTTCGGCTACAACATTGATCGGATGTTGGTCATTTCTAGGAAATCGTAATGAGGGGCTTCAGCTGGGAAAGCGAACACCCTTTCAGTCTTTTCTTATAAATTTTTGAATCAATGTCACGAGACCCAAGTTTCTATCCCATGTACAGTCGTTTCTGGGTCTGAATAAAACCGATATTGACAAATGTAATCGATATGCAATAGCGGCCAATACTATACCATATGTGTCACAAGCATTCGATTCGGAGGACATTGGTTTTGCGTGCAGGTCGTTGTTTCTTTGTCCTGCGAAATTTCAATGATGAGAGATAGATCGACAACCCTGCTTACATCCTAATTTGTAACGGAGAAACATAAAAATACGCTGTCTTGGAATCCATGGAGCGAAAGGAAAAAGAAAAAGACAACGGTGGAAGCGGGGATGAGGCAAAAAAGAGGATCAGTCCACAGTCGTCGGACGCCGGGAGTTCGGCTTCAGGGAGCAGCGGGTCAGCACTGAGTGCTGCACCGGCAGCCAACGGGGCTGGGGGCGGCTCGGGCGGTCATAGCCACTCCATCTCGCACGGAATGCACAGCCATAGTCAGGGATCGGGATCCCAAAAAACCTTCAAAATAGCCCCAGGATTGCAAGATGCTCCCCGAAGACAGAGTAAGCGGAAAAGAGCAAAGGTAAGACAATCAAGTTCACAGAGGATGTGCACTAAGCACACAAACAAAGCGGACATGCTAGTAGTAGTAGTAGGCCCCCTACATGTAGTTACGTGTAGTACGCACATACATGTACAGGCGCAGACTGTACGTGTACATCATGTACAGTAGGCGTACATGTACATCGTAGTCTGCATTCGTTCCTCCATTATTAGTGGATCGGCCCATTATCTCCACTATCTATTGCCTAGATATTGATTCATTGCTGGTTAAAAATAGTTTATACCGTTGCTTTTGTTTGTAGTGATTATTTTTTATTTTAATTCAATTTGATTAAAAACTAAATTGTTTCAAATATGAATTATTTAATATTTATTTGAGTTTGCAGTGTGGACATAGGGATTTATTTTCACGTCTCTAAACTGCCACATATACATGTGCATCTTAATATTAATCATTTGAATGAACTTTCAACTTTCATCAACATGTGTTTTGTGTGGGTACATGTATTTTTGTGAGGTAGTGGGACATTGTGTTAGTTGCAGTGAGGCACATAGCATTTCTCCTTTATTTTGGGAATTGAAAGTTGGAAGGGGCGATTTACTTATGTAAATAAATGAAAGTACTGTATTAATGATGGGATCACCTGCTGGCAAATACACGTACCATGGTTCTACAAAGAAAATATTTCTGAACAACCAGACTTGTGATGAAACCCTAATCTGACTGTGTGTGTACATGTAATAATTTATGTTTACGCTTCTCTCTGTTCATCAGGTTGAGTATCGGGAGATGGATGAGAAATTGGCTAATCTTTCGGAAGATGAGTACTTCTCTGAGGAAGAGAGGCAACTCAAGAAGGAGAAGGTCTCTAAAACAGCAGAGGATGAGCCTGAAGAGAGTGACTTGGAAGAGCCTAAAGGTACAAAACACTTATTGCAGCAAAGGATTTCTGAAGTCTAAAAGGCAAAGTCAAGTCTTTCATTCCCCTCTCTAAATGGCATAATTAATTTTTTTTTTTCAACTGAGGAAAATAAATGTATAAGAACTTATTTGAAACTGCTTTGAGCATATGTAGGTCTTGAAGGAGCAGCCTTTTCCGCTCGCCTTCCTAGCGATAAGATGACAGCTCAAGAGGCGGCCTGTTTTCCTGATATCATCCAGAGTCCAGCACAGACTCAAAAATTGTTCTTGTACATCCGTAACAGACTGGTAAGCAACGTGATATGCCCCCTGTAAACTTACTATTTTAAACTTTGTTTTTCCATCAAAGACTTGTGGTGATAACTCTCTCCCCACAAGATTGGACATAGTCATGCAGAAATGTATGTACATGTACAGATGATTGGTTTGAAAAAATTCCACACATGGACACCAGTCATATTCCCTTCAGTGACATGCATCTACATGTATCAGCCATGTGTTAGAAAGTGATGACATGCTGTCAAAACCAAGTCTAGCAGGAAAAGTGAGGAAACATTTGGAAAACACTTTGAACTTTTCAGACTAGTTTCAAAGGGTTTGTGCACAGGGTTTCCAGTGATGTTCAGGTAAACTTGAGTTTTCCTCGTTTTTTCCTTTTTTAAGCTCCAACTGTGGTTTGAGAATCCCAAGGTCCAGCTGATATTTGAGAATGCGCTGCCACAGATAGAAGCCCCATACAATAGTGAGTTTTCTTTCGATGCTGTTTTCTTGAGTCCATCCTTCCTGATTGGTTCTTCAGCCTTGTTTTGCTATTGTCCTTAGAATAGAGAAGCTGTGTGTTACTTTCTGATGTAGGCTTGGTTCAAAGGTAAGTACATGTATTTGTCAGTCATTGAAAAGGAAATATTTGTTTTTGTAGGTTTTGATAAGTTTCAAGTTTCCTCAACTCTGTCAAGGTTTAAAGGGGATCAGAGATGACATAGTTGCTGTTTAAGGCTGAATCGATTCTAATTATTGAATACTGGAATATTCCACCTTCCATTTGATCAAATATTTGAATGTTCCAGTGCGCCAAATTGTCCAAACTACTACTTTTACAGAGGGTAAAAAGACAGAAACTTGGAGAAAAATGTTTGGCATTTTTGTTAAGCGCACACATGTGACACTTTAGGTTTATTTGTAGCATTTTCATTGCAAAATATGTTTTAGAAGGCAATTTATCGACTTTGTTTTCATTTTGTTTCACTGATTTTCATTTCAGATTTTTCAATTTTAAAATCATCCATTGATCAGTAATTAATCAAATTTCTGCATATTAAAATAATTGGCATAATCTCCAAGCTGTTCTCCATGCATTTCGTTCCGACTTGCAGAAATTCCTTTGTTCCAGAAATACATGTAAAAGATGGACCTTTTCTTACGTGATAGTGTTTATGAATCATGAAGACCGGATACTGAATTATTTCTTGGAAGTGAATGTACCACAACATTATCTCATTGTGTTTTGTTTGTATGTGTACATGTACATACATGTACATATATATGTGTTCATCATTGTTTTAGAAGCTTTTGCACTTGTGTACATGCATGCATACATTTAGGTGATGTCCAACTTGTGATGCGAGTCCATGCATACCTGGAACGCCATGGCCTAATCAACTTTGGCATCTACAAGCGTCTGAAGCCTGTCCCAACCAAGGCCATGGGCAAGGTGCTGGTGGTGGGAGCTGGCATTTCAGGTCTGGCTGCAGCCTCCCAGCTCCAGTCCTTTGGCATGGACGTGACCCTTCTGGAGTCCCGGGACCGGGTGGGGGGCCGGGTCACCACCTATCGCAAGAACAACTACGTGGCGGACCTTGGCGCCATGGTTGTGACTGGGCTGGGGGGCAACCCCATGACCATCATCAGCAAGCAGGTCAACATGGAATTGACCAAAATTAAGCAGAAGTGTCCCCTGTTTGAGAGTGGAGGTCAAACGGTATGGACGGCAAGTATTGATTTTCCCTATGTGTGTTCGGGGGAGATCCCGCGAGCCTAACCGTCACTGTGTTCTACTAATGGTACAGTTCTTTCTTTTTAACCTTACGGAAGTGTAGGGGAAGGGTTCAGTTACATGCAATTAAGAAACAGTTTCTTATTTCACCCTGGGAGGAAGGTTCCCAAATGTACCATTTGAATAATCTTTGTTAGATCAATTGGATGCTAGAACAGCCAGTGGACAAAAGTGTCGTGTACAAAATGTCGCGACACATGCTCATTGTTTGCTTCTTGAAAACCCCACACTTCGAAAGACATTTCTTCCCATAGTAATGCTGGAGGCCTATATATCTGTGAGTTGCACAATAACAAATCTTCAAATCTCACTTGTGGCGTGACAAAGCTTGAAACTGGCTATTTTTAAGGATACAGACATATTGGGGAATGTAGTTTCTCATTATGTTCTTAGTTGTTTTTCAATTTCCTCTTTGTTTTGGGTTTTTTGTGCCTTTGTTGTTCGTGTTTTTTTTGTTTTATGTTTATTTCTGAGTTTCTTTTAGAACATAACCAGTACTTTTCCACTCTGTTTTGTAATATTTGAAGGTTGGTTCTAAGCTCACTTCCAAGCTTTGAATTCTTCCTTAATTTTGTTTCCCTCTATATTTCAGACTTTAAATTTTGCTTTTAAAAACTTTAAAGTTGCACAGTCAGTCCCCACATAGGATTCACACAGCGTCATTGTGTACTAATGTGATAACAGCTTTGAGTGGTGAAGGGTTGTTTAACATTCAGACTAATTGCATTGCACTTTAACTAATTGCACATTTTGTGAATTTTTTTCTAATAGAGGGTACAAAAAAGCTTTAAGTACACAGAAGGAAAAGGGTAGCATTACTTCAAATAATGGAAAATAATGAAATTGCGAAAGGGAAGGAAACGGCTAAAGGTTGGTCCATGCTTTTTCTGCACACAGATACCGAAGGACAAAGACGAGATGGTGGAAAGGGAATTCAACCGACTCCTGGAGGCCACCTCCTTCATGTCTCATCAGCTGGACTTCAACTTCATCCACGGGAAGCCAGTGTCACTCGGCCAAGCACTGGAGCTTGTCATCAAGTAAGTTTTCACATAAAAGGGGCTTCCAAAGAATGAACTGGGATTTGATGGTGCGTGTACATGTACATACAGGAGGATGACATTATTGACGGTTTGGTATTATTAGAGAGGCCTTAGACAATTTGGCATAGAGATTATCGAATAGGCTTTAGTTCCAACCTACTGTGTTAGTGGCTGTAGAAATTCTATTGGTTTGCAGAATGTCTGCTGATAAGACTTAAATACATGAGCACAGGGCAGTTTTAACTGGACACTGCATCAGTATTTCTCATCATCTTCTTCACACATACATGTGCAGTACGTGTATCTGTCATAATGAGCATCAGATTGCCTATTTGAAAACTTTGCTTCATGTTTAGGCATTCACTGTGTTAAGGGGACAGTTTTTTTAATAGGCAAATTTGGACTGAGTTGTAAGAACATTTCTGTGTCCCCATAGTGTTTTGGTCCCAACAAAATAGGCAAACTATCGAGTGTGTGTACCAACAACTACAGAACAAGAAAGGTTGCTCATGCTTACATGTATTTTTCTCAGTCTTCTGGTATACATGTAGTACACACGTACATGTATCTCATCATTTCAGACTCCAAGAAAAACAGGTGAAAGAGAAGAAGAGCGATTACCTGAGGACGATCATCAGCCTACAGGAGCAAACCAAGGAAAACCAGGCCAAGGTTGGGTCTTCAGATGCCTTTATCCACTGTTCCCCTCTCCAATATTTCGTGCCTTTTTTCAAGTGCCTAATCATAAACTGGTCCTTTGTTTCAATTTATGTATTTGATACTGTCACAAAAATAGAGCAAGGTGGTTTACAGTGTGCTTATATATTTTTTATAATATTTGAACTGAAGCAAATTTATTAGTTCAAAAGGAAATGTACATGTGTGAAATGAAGTCTCTCACAGAAAGAGGCAGGGGTCATATTTATCAAGCTATGCTTCATAGAGTTTCAGACCTGTGTTACTACGAGAAAAAACAAATCAGAAATATTTCCTCTTGCCAGATTTTAGCCGCTTCGCGCCGGGGGACCGGTATTGGGTACATTATGTTTGTACATGTATGCATAGCCAGGGAGCACGAAATCAGACAAAGGGGCCGGGTCTTGTAACAAAAGACCGCACTCAAACAAAAGACCGAGCTGCTTGGACTTGAATATTTTTTTTTTCAGTAGTCAATAGTGGAGGTAATCCGTCCTTTTTTTGAAACACTATACCACCATTTCAAACAATTTCTGCAAACCAGGGACGGACGCTCTCTAGCACTGCAGTGCTGAGCAACACAATACCGTTGCATGCTAATCTAAAAAAGACGCCAGCAGCGAAATGCTTTAGTTTCGAGAACAAAAGAAAATTATGCAACACTGCTCAATCTGAGCTCTCTTCATGAGGCAGCAGGCCTAGCTGAAATACACGTACACGGGCATCAATAGATGTTGCCTTTCAGATTAGAGTAGCCACCAGACAGTCATTTGTGCAGGTGTAAATGTCCAGTAAATGAAGTAATGAACTTTTGAAGAATTTTGAAACAGAAAATCTTGAAAAACACCCATATTTGTGTACTGCCATTTTAATTGAACCCGGAGCAAAGTGGTTAATTGTTCAATTACGCGAATGTATCTATTTTTCACATTAAGACAGAAACAGTTTGTTCCAACACGTGCAGTGCACTATTTTGTTAAAGAGCTTACTGCTTTTTTATGTTGTTTTTTTCTTTAAACAGCTGTTGGTACTTCAAGACAAGATCAAGGAACTACACAAGCAGTACAAGGAGGTGTCAGAGAGCAAGGCACAGCGAGACATCACCACAGAGTTCCTGGTTCGCAGCAAGATGAGGGACTTGAATGCTGCCCTCAAGGTAAAAACTTCCTGAGCCACACAGAGTGTGAGTGGGCTCCATCAGAAGCTATTTGTCAATGGCTGTGGTCTTATCTGGTTTACTGAAGTTGTTCACAATTACAGCGTAGATTATGGCATATTTTTGAGGATTGCCTGAAACTTGAAAACAGAAATTATCACTTCTTATAAAGAACATGTAAATGTATTATGACTTTTTGAAACTGAGGTTATAGAGAATGCTATTTAGGCTGTCTACACATTGCAAGATTTGTATTGATTTAAGAAGGACCCTGGCTAAACACCCAGAGTGTTTATTCATACACTGTGAGACAGTAGGGCCTATAGATCTCTCATTGGATGCCATCTCTGTAGGAAAATTACAACTGTATATAACGCAAACGTGTGTGTGCGCACAGTTTGCAAAATGTTTGAAACTCGCATGCATGTTGATCGAAATATGTTTGAAATGCGGTGCAGCTGATGCATGTCACACAACTTTAAGTAAAAAGAAATGCCAACACACATGGCAGTCTGAAGGAAGTGTCGTCATTTGAGGGAGACCTATACTTTGTGCTGTTCATTTTATACAGGGGCACTGGTTACTATATGTATTGGTGGCTTGAAGTACATGTAGACATATAGCCATTAACTCAAACCATAAGTTATACGGCCAGAAACTCTCTCAAGCATCCATACATAGTTTCAGTGCTGCAGCAAGGCTGTTGTGGAATCTTTTCTTCAAGTGGCTATGACTTGGATAAACCATGCTTGTCTATGGGCAATTGTTGCAACTGCAGAGCTAGCCAGTGGCTTCCACAGGCAAACATCTTATTGCCAGCCACAGCCACAAGTATCATTCAAATGCAGTCTAAGCTCAACAGGTACATGTACATGTAGGTATCTCTCATTTCATTCATGTGGTGTATGATACATGTACATCCATATGCCTCTCCCAAAATGAAGATGAAAAACATCAGACTGAGAAAAGTATGGAACCGCAGATACATGTAGATTAATGATGATAAAATTAACCAGTTTATATGTTGCCAGTGTTTTTTTCTGTTTTTAACACAGGAGTACGACATCCTTGTTTACAACCAGAAAGATGTTGATGAAAAAATGCAGGAGTTGGATAATAACCCGCCAAGGTATGTATTATTTTGATTTATACATCTGATTTGAAAAGTACCCCTTGTACATATCAGTGTGGCTACCTGTCAACGGATTAATTTCTAGATTTCTGTTTTTGTCAAACGTGCAAATCTTGGGGTGTGTTTTTGGTTTTTTTTGGCAGTGATGTGTACCTCTCGTCGCGAGACCGGCAGATTCTGGACTGGCACTTTGCCAACCTGGAGTTTGCCAACGCCACGCCCCTGTCCACCCTTTCCCTCAAGCACTGGGACCAAGATGATGACTTTGAGTTCACCGGCAGCCACCTGACTGTCCGAAATGGCTACTCCTGCGTCCCAATAGCGTTGTCCGAGGGGCTTGACATCAAGCTGAATACGATCGTCCGACAGATCAAGACAAACAACACAGGTTAGTTTCATGTTGACATAAACGTGATTTGCTGTACAGAAAGGAATTGTAGTATTTATCCTAAATTTGACTTTTTTGAGTGCCTGTAGACGAAAGATGGAAAATGCCAAAGGATTTAGAAATAACTTGTTTTTGACATGTTATAACAAATTTGTGCCCTTTGTAAACAAAGGGTTTTAAAATTAAAAGATATGTTCCAGGTGGTCGTCTTGTTGTCCAAAATTTATCATTTATCTTTTATCTTTCTCATACAAATTATGAAGCCCCCTATTAAAAAGAGAACTAGCATCACAATAAAACTTTGGAACCTATTTTCAGGTGTAGAGGTCGTGACCCAGAGTGCCAAAGGGCAAGGTGGCACCTACACCTACAAGGCAGACGCGGTGGTGTGCACGCTACCCCTTGGGGTGCTGAAGCAGTCCCCACCGGTGGTACAGTTTGTGCCGCCGCTTCCTGAGTGGAAGACCAGTGCCATACATCGCATGGGCTATGGCAATCTCAACAAGGTGTATGGAATTATTTAAAACTGTAAAATGTCGCTCCGAAATTGTTGCTCAGTGATTACTCTCCTTTGCATTTGAATATTGAGTGCTAATGTTACGTGTGTGTGTGTGAGTTTGTTTCTGCATTCAATTGGGGACCCTGAACAATAGCGGACAATAAGGTCCCCGATTGACAGAGGGTCCCCGATTGACAACTGTGGTCTTCTAAAAAGTTAAAGTACAAACAAAAGAGAAACAATAGGGGGTCCCCCGTTGCAGGCAAATACACACTTACATGTGTGTGTGTATGTTTACAAAGTGACAGGTGATGCATGTACCCTTGCCTGTATATTTCAAAGGGTTTTGGTGCACTGTTTTTAAATCATGTAGTTTTGATTTTTTTTATCTTTTTGGTTGTTCCTTAGAATGAAAGTATCAGGACAATGGTGATGATTTTAATTTGACGTTGAGTTTGGGGGCTAGTGTTACTCAGCTGCATTAAATGGGAGAGTTGTGATCTTACAAAATTCTGCTTATATTAAATGTTCTCAGATAGGACTCAATTTTTAGAGAGGGGTTACTGAATGAACAGGGTTTATATATCGGAATCGTTACACTATATAAATCGGCAAATTTCTGTTTTACCTTCACAATGTACAGATGCCCATGTATATAAAGCAAATTTGGTCACAAACCCTAAGTTATTTTGGTCAAACAGTCAAAGAATTTTTATAAGAATGACATTTTAGAGTCTAATTTCCCCCTTTCCTCCCCCTTCCCCAGGTGGTCCTGTGCTTTGACAAGGCATTCTGGGATCCTTCCGTCAACCTGTTTGGCCATGTAGGCAGCACCACGGCCAGCCGCGGTGAGCTCTTCCTGTTCTGGAATCTGTACAAAGCACCAGTGCTCCTGGCTCTGGTAGCTGGGGAGGCCGCGCAGATCATGGAGAATGTCAGTGATGATGTCATCGTGGGGCGATGCCTGTCAGTACTGAAGGGAATCTTTGGACCTTCCACGGTTCCACAGGTATGCATGCCATTACTCTAAAACTGCTGTTTTATACAGATTGTACTGAATCACAAGATCAGCTTTAGAAACAGGAGCTGTCATCTCTTCATGAGCTTAAAATATGAACGTTTTTTCAATGAAAATGAGTAGGTTGCTTTCATTTTCATTAAAAAAGCCTCTCTTCTTTTAAAACTCTATTCTGAATTGCATTTCTGATATTTACAGTGATATCTGTAAGATGTCACCGTGAAGGAGATTTTTTACAGTAATTTTCTCACGATCCCTTTCTATTTGCTTACTCGCTCTGAAGATTTGGATCAGTCGACAGACAGAGAATAGTAAATGCTGTGAAGGCCCAATATGCCACATAAAAACTTTCATAACATCTCAACTCTAGATTTTGTATATTGATTGGCTGAGAGCTTGTCACATGGCTACCAGTATCTTGCTTTTCACGGCCAAATTTTTCAACCAAATTTTTCAACAAATTTCTTGTTCACATAGATGCACCTTTTACATATGTTGATAAATTGATAAGTTATCAAGCAGAATCTTGAAGAGATGTGTTATACATTATAATTAAATGTTGACTATTTTATCTCATGGTGTAACCAAACCTCATCTCAGGAAAACAGAATGCTTCAGGGATCACCCTGGGAAGTTATTTTTACTGTATCACAAAAAGTAGTCAGGAACTTGGTTTGAAAACGTATCCATATCTACCCAACTAGGGGACATTTTCACTTGCTAGATATTACTTGTCTTTTTCTTGTCTTATGTTTCAAAGCCCAAGGAAGCAGTAGTGACTCGTTGGCGTGCAGACCCCTGGTCCCGGGGATCCTACTCCTACGTGGCAGCAGGCTCGTCAGGCAATGACTACGACTTAATGGCCACGCCCATTACACCCACCCCTGTGGTCCAGGGGGCCCCGCCCCAACCCAATAACATGCCCCGCCTCTTCTTTGCTGGCGAGCACACCATCCGGAACTACCCAGCCACTGTGCACGGTGCACTCTTGAGTGGGCTGCGGGAGGCAGGCCGGATTGCCGACCAGTTCCTTGGGTCACCCTATGCCCCACAGAGGCAGGTACCCCCCATGGCCCACCAGTCATCGTAGGCGGTTGCCATTTGGACTAAGTAACCCCTAAGTTTGTGAAAAAAAGAAGATTTTGGAAAGGTTAAGGAGCATTCTTCACCCTGAAAAAACTTTAGATTTTTGCACATTCTGATGGAAATTGGACATTATCATGTAATATATGCACAGATCGGTGTACATGTATTATATATGGACCTTATGGGGACCAAAAATGTTATGAGAACAGAATTTTCACCCCACAATGCAGGTCAGACTTTCCTTAACAACATTATCCACTTAGCACAATGAAAGATGACCAACCAAAGTATGTACTTGTACCATGAGTAGGTCAGAAGAGAACACTGAATAAATCTGTCCAGGTAAGCATACATGTCGTAGAGTGAATCATTCAACAGCAAATTTTCCCATCGTTACCACCAGTGTCTTATTTTTTTGGATAGGTTTGTCACATTTTGCCCAGCTATAGGTTGTGGTATTCCTCTTTTACAGCAGAAAAATGAAATTATTCAAAAGGGATTGACATTTTGCTATAAATGGTAGATATAAATATAAGTATTATGCCAGAATTCATACTGACATGCAGCATCCTTAGTGATGGCTTTTATTTGCATCAGTGTTGTGATCGAATCCATCACTACTCTGTCTAAGTCATCCAGCCTTTAATTATCCAAGTTGCAAGTTATTCAAATGAACTGTGACAAAAGCACTCCATTGTCATTGGCCATCCACCGGTCTGTTGACCGGACTTCTCAAGGGATTTGTGAATGGACGTGGCAACACTGGAATCCATTTTTCTTTTGTTTTAACTTTCTATGTGGTTGTTTTAATGTATACATTTTTACATCATCTTTAGAGGTTCCAGACTATGACTATCTTGGCCATTGTAAACAACAGCAATAACTTATTTATTTTTCTTTTTGTCCTTGAGAGGGAGGTAGGGAACCATAATATTACATGTAGGCACTGAGTACTGGTTTCATGTACATAAACGTGTGTGCTTTTGCTGGTATGTTGCCAGTATGTTGCACTGCAACATGTATGTGAAATTGTTTTCAAGCCAAGACATTGACCTACATGATAAAGCCTGGTAACAGCTGATTTATTGACAATATCCTAATATTTTGAGAAGTCATTATTAAAACTGTCCAGAAAATGTAAATGTTGCTATTCAAATACCATTGGACTAGCTGATCAGGCAAATGCTAGAGAAGACAAATTTTAGGAAAAATCAACATTTATTTTGCTTTTGGAATTTCATATTGATTACTGCTGTGTGATATTGTAAAGTCTGGTTCTTGTATGCTAACGGCGTGTAAGACGTCAAGACACAGACAGCCATGGAAGAGACGCTGCGTGACATCATTGCACACAGTGTTAATGCAGGCAGTTGACAAAGTTTAATGCTGATCCAACTTTCAGTCTGCATTGATGTCTTTGTTAGTCATGATAAAGTGTTTCCATATGATTTTGTATCATTGGAAACTGGTCAGTGATACTGTGTATCAATATGGAAACCAGGCTTTAGACTTCATAGGAGTTCAGTGTTGGTCACACTACTTGGTCATTAACCTTACACATTTTGAGCGTTAGTGAAGACAGCTTTTTTATGACCAGGATCAAATTTGTTATACATATGTACATGTATATGATAAAAGCTGTTCTACAAATGATGATCTGCTCATTTGCTCATTATCATTCACGGGGAGATGTAATGTGTAATACAGAAAGCCTTTGGTTTCATGTAGGAAGCGTATTGTAAGCTTTGCGAGCTTTTTAAGAGTAAAGTAAAGCATACAGGTGTATCTGTTAAGTTTCACCTGATTTTGGTTCCACAAAAGTGATACTGTTAAGTTGGCAATATTGATCAAGACCTCTCTCCTTGTATATTCATTCTATCCTTTTTTTGTACATATCTAAACTCATGCAGACCTGGCAGTGGTTGTGTTTGTAGGGTTTTAATTTATTTTGGGTAGTCTGCCATTTGTTTTAGTTCATGTGTTGTCGTGTCTTTGGATTAAAGTACTTTAAGTTCTGCAATTTTGCTTTCTAACGCTATGCTTTTTGTATTGATTTATACCAAGTTGGTCTCATGGTTTTTGGTAAAATGCTTCTGGGAACTTTAAAAATGCAATTACCTTGCTCCAGCGTTGTAACAAGTCACTACCATTTCTGACTTGAGTCAAGTCATCGTAATGTAGTGACTGGAGTCAAGTCATTGTAATGTGAGTCGTATCAATTATGTTTTAGCTCAAGTCAATTCAAGTCACCGATTATGAAAAAAAAACGAACTCAAAAGTGAAAGCCTTTTTGTTTTTCCTTTTTTTTTTTTTTCTTTTTTGTTGCTTGTTAAAAATTTACCCTCCAGTCACATGGCATCTTACTCTTGAAGATAAAGCATGATATAAACATGGAGTAACACTTCAAGTCATTGCAAATATTATTTTGCAAAGAAGTTGCTTTTATTTTTTGGGAAATCGAGTGTTATTAACTTTCACCGGAGTCTGGTCTTGTGATGAGAGACTCAAGGAGTCCTATTAAAGGAATGTCTTTGCATTATGCCAAGTTCAAAAAAATTAAGTGAGGCACAGCCGAGTTTGGGGGGGGGGGAGAATCACCTTAGCAGTGAGATGGGCCCAAATAACCCAGCTCTTTTGGAATTAAGCCATTTACTTGCAGTGGCTCGAGTCATTTACCTATTGGGGCTTCAGAGTCCCCAAATTGTGAATCCCCTAAATTGTGTTATACTCAAGTTGGGTCGTTGCCTCAAGTCCGTACTACTCCGCCTTGCTTCAAATAGAAATCTGAGTGATTTTGAAAAAAAAGACCAGCATTTTTGTGAAAAATAAATAGAACGACAAGGTTTGAACCCCTTCCTTGGAAATTATTTACGTTCTGATCTGCATATTGAAAAACTAATATATAAAATGCTTCAGAGAACTTTAAAAATTCATGTTCTGATTCTGAAGAGTAGTTTTTTTGTCACTTTGGAAAAAGTAAGATTTTACCCAAAATCAAATTAAATTTCAAAGCTAACCCTTGCACTGTTTCATATGTGTAGATATGTATATACACCCCCAAAACAAGTCATACAATGCGTCATAGAATTTGAACATATACCATTCCTGCTACGAACAGTATTTCTGAGTCATTTTTATAAAAAGTAACATTTAACCAAAATTTGATTACATTTCAAAGATAACCTTTGCAACTTTTTTTTTTGTATGTCATTATTTGCAACACATAGATAATTCATGAAATGCCCAGGAACTTTAAAAATACAATTATCTTGCTCCAAATATTATTTCTGAGCCATTTTGATAAATTAACATTTGGCCAAAATTTGATTAAACAGCAAGGCTACCCATTTGCAAATTATTTATATTTGTGATTTGTATAAAACAAAATGAGGTATAAAATGCTTCACGGAGCATTGAAAATTCAATTACCTATCTACCTACAATATATGTTGAGATCCACAGCACACATACAATTCATGAAATGCCTCAGAACTTTGAAAATACAATTATTTTGCATCAATAGTAATTTTGAGTTATTTTGAGAAAAGTAAATTTAGACCAAAATTAAATGAAATTCCCTTGCAAATTATTTTACATGTTGAAATCTGCATGTACCAAAACAAGTCCTTACAAATTTTCTGCAAAAAATAATGCACTTTTCCTGCTCCAAGTAGTATTTCTGGATTACTTTGAGAAAAAATAAATTTCTACAAGAAGTTTATTAAATTACAAGGCAACCCCTTGCATATTTTCTCAAGAGTTTAGATCTTCAAAACATAAAGAATTCATGAAATGCCTCAGAGAACTTTGAAAAGACACTTGTCTTGCTCCAAATAGTATTTCCGAGCCATTTGAGAAAAGTAAATTTTTTGGCCAAAATTAGTAAAATTGCAAGGCTTACCCCTTGCATATTATACATCTACAAAATGCTTTAGAGAACTTTTGAAAATGCACTTCCTTTTGAGAAAAGTAAAATTTCTCCCAAAATATTTATTGCTAGGCTTACCCCTTGCAATTTTTTGTACCTGTGAAATTTCTAAATTCAACTTTGAATATATCCTTATCATGCGCCTAAAGTAGTATTTCCAAGTCATTTTTACAAAAGTAGGAATTATGAAAATGGTATTATTTAATGTGAAAATTGGAATCACTCGATAATTTCATAAATATGCTGACAAGAATTAGAAAACTTATCTTGCTCCTAAAAAGCTTTCCAGAATCATTTTGAGCTCAGCAGAACTTTTAGGCAAAATGTTTAAATTGCATTCAAACCTGTATTAGTCACAAAATTTTTCATTAGGAAAATCTGATAAAGTGTCTGAAAATTTTCAAACTTTTACTTCAAAAAGAATTTCTAGGCCACTGGAAAAAAGTCATCCACAAATGTTCATTGATCTGCAAGATTACTACTTTCACTTCTGTGCATGTACATGTATATCTTGACCAAAGTCACATGCACTATTAACAAACTGGAAAAAGGAAAGTTCAGTTTGTTGGTTGTTTCCAATAACTAATGAAATGAATTTAGTTATCACACAATGGCATTTGTAATAATTGCAAGTTTATTAATTCAAGTACACATACAATTCTGAAAATTTTTTCCAGCAAAGAATTCTATACAAAATTGAAATGACATCCGATGAAAGACAAAACAGCAAGGCACACGTGAATTCATTACTGAATAGTAGTGTAATTCATGGTAAAATATAATGGTAATTTCCTGTCATTTGCCTCCTGGAAAATCCTCTAAATTGTAAACATTCCTAAAGCATTTACAATACAAATTGAAAGATACTACTGTGGTAAAAAAATTGAAATGAAAAAAAAGCTGTGTTGGTAAGACTAAACAATGCCCCCAACGAGCCATGGTGCAGACCTCATGGTGACTGATCCCACTTCAATTGGCATTCACTAATTCGTACCATCTCAGAGAACTCTGACTCTTTTGCAGTAGAAACAGCCATTTTACAAAAAAAAATAACAATACAGGTAAAAGTATTTGAAAATTACAAAAAATATTGCTGTTAACCTGTTCCCAAGTCTATCTGCTAACTTCTAATGCCTTGAGATTCTATGATTGGACTTGTCACATATGCATTAAGTATATTGAGATATTCTTCAATTAAAAAAAAATATGACAGTTCATTGACCTTAGATTTGCCCTTATTTTAGATATCAAAAAACTTATACATATGCATTTACATTACACTATTTTGTCACTACTCCAGCAACTTTGACCCAATTCTTTTTGGACCTAAAACTTTAAGCATCAAGCTTAAATCTTAACCTCAAAAATTTAATATTCTCCAGATTGTACTGATTGAGTTAAATCCTCAATGGTACCCTGACACAGGTCCAGTTCTATTATACTCCCAACATGGGACCAACTTCAACCTTAAATGATAGCCTGACACTCAGAGGTCCAAGTCGTCCATACTCCCCCACGTGGGACCCACTTTGACCTTAACTGGTAGCCTGACACTGAGCACCATTGCCGATTCCATCTCGGCCTTCACCAGCTGTGCCACCTGAATGACATCCTCCCTGTGGACTTCATAGATGAGTTCATCATGTAGCTGCAGTACCAGGAAGGCCCCAGAGGGAGTAGGGACAGCACCCCTACGGTTCTTCTTTCGCTGAGTCAAACCTTCATTGGTGAAGAAAAAGGGCCTGCCATTTTGAAAATGTTTATATACTATCTACCTTGGTCTTCCATTTGTTAGTTGTTCTAAAATTTATTATACTAAAATTGTGAAAGAGAAACAATTTATGTGTATCTCTATCTAAATCATCAAATCGAGGTAAGATATTAACAATATTTTGGACAACCAGACCAAATGTTGAAAACAAACAAGCACTTCATTGGTACCCACAAACTAGTGCACCAAAAACCAAAGTTCTCTACATGTATATCCAAAGACTATAGACAGGATGTCACTTTGTGGAATGCCAATACTTCACTCTGTAGTGTAACTAATGAATTCCTGAATGTTATAAACTTGGCCTCATAAACTTTAACAGTTCACCGAGGCTTCTACTATATCCCACAATCTAGTCTTTCACCTGTATTAACATCCGCTCTGTGCCGGTGAGTCAGCCTCGTATTCGGGAATTCCTGTGCCAGCCTACGGTCAATTCTCACCATGGCCACCTTGACTAGGTCAGCGGCTGAGCCCTGGATGGTGGTGTTGACAGCCTGTCGCTCGGCCTGGCTGCGGGCGGCTGGGTTGGTGTGGGTGATAGCTGGTAGGAAGCGTTTGCGGCGGAGGAGGGTTTGCACGAAGCCGTTGGTCCGGCAGCTCTCGACGGTGTCCCGGATGTAGTTCTTCATTCCTGCAGGCAAGACATTTTGAAACCACTACTATGGACTATGTTGTTGTTACTGAGCTTTGCAAGTACACACTTGCTGAAAGTACAATGCATCTCCGTTCAAGCCATTATTGCTCTTTATCTCCAATTTCCTTGGCATAAAATAACTGAGCATATTTCCCTTCCCCCATGAGACAGGATGCTAGACTATTGGGGGCTGCTCTCCAGCTAATGCCTATTTATAGCCCTATGAGGGGAAAGGCAAGCAGTGGTGATACTAGCTTGTCCACAGCCACAACCTATTGCCAGCAGACTCAAATCCCAACACACTGGTAATGATTCTCAGACCCTATCAACCTTGAGCAGAAGCACCCTGTCATTGGTTGAAAAGAGCCATATTGATTGGGGAGTGTTCAATTTGTTGGTAGCAAAGCGGCTGTAACACGTGCATGTCATATTTATTCGTGAACAAGCAAAGTGCAGTGCCCATCAAAGGAGCCTCCATTGCTAGGAAAAATTGCTCTTTTGGTCTAGCTCGGGGCTTATAGGCCACACTTTTGTACATTTTTTCTGGAGCAATGGGAAAACTTTAGCTAGTGCATGTGTATACTGTGTGTAGGCTATTTAGCCAAGCATGTAGAGGTATTCTGACTTAGAATTGACCCCATTCTGCAATTTATCCATCTTTGGAAGGGGGGGTGGTTGGGGGAAAACAAGAGTGTGAGTGGAGAAACCTTTCAGATTTTTGAAAGCAGAAACATGCTGTTGTTGTTGTAGACTTCTATATTGAAATTGGCAGTTGGTCCAGGCGGAGGTGTAATGGGGAGGAGCTATATGTACGTGTGGGAGGGAAGAGGGAGGACGTACCCCCGTACTGAGTCTTAAAGGAGTCCATGAAGGCTGCTGCATCTTCTTCAGACTCTCCAAGCTGCAGGCCCAGTGCCTTGGCTCCGATGCCATACACCATGCCATAGCATATCTACCAGAGCAAATGCAAAGGGCCAGATTGTACTTCGAACTAGTGGCTTTATAACAGTCAATTGACAGAGTTTCCTGCAGTATTAAGGGAAAGGGCTGTTGTCCTACTACAAGTAACAGTCAGTCACGATATTGCTTAACGGTACCCGTGCTAACCGTAGATGTCTGACACTTTCACTCAATCCATGCAATTATACTATTGCACAACCTTCAGACTTAGTATCTTTCACTTCTTACATGTTCACAGGAACAACATCGAACTGATAATGAAAGTTACACCCCCTCTGACTGCTGTACCAATTGGAACTACCACTGACAACAAATAGGGTAAAAGGTGATGCTGTAATGCTTTGCTCTAGTTGTTGAGGTGACAGCTCAGAATACAGAATATCAATAACCAAATTAAACAGTATGAAAGGATGAAATTTACAATTAACCGAATGACCGGGTGCAGATCACAATTAGTCAAGTGCCCCGCCCCATGTACCTGCTTTGCTTGTTGGCGTTGCTTGGGGGTGACCTGACTCTCCGCTATCTGTTTCCACTGGGCAGCTATGCACTTGAAGACGTCTCCGCCACCATTCAAGATGCCTGCCAGCTTGGCATCTCCTGACAGGTGAGCCAGGATCCGCAGCTCCAGCTGAGAGTAGTCGGCGGCAAGGAGCACACCTCCTGGGAAACATAACATTTATGGCAGCTATTGTAATTTAAGCACCGCCTCCTTAGAAGTCTTTAGGGGAGTCACAGTGAAATGGTACACCCTTGCCTTCCAGGTTCAAATCCAACCCAGGTCAACATGTGGACTGAGTTTTCAGTACCTGCCTAATTCTGTGGACTTTACCTAAAACAGTTATCTGGGGTTTGCCTCCCATATCTAAAAACTGAAAAATAACACACTCAGGAACCAGCTAAGAACTTCCATCAGTTAGTTTCAGTTTCAGTGTGTTTATTTCTGATTATTAGGAACAAGGAATATCATATATATATAAAATGAGTACAAACACTTCACAAAAACCAGGGAGTACTGGTCACCTTGAAATGGACAGAATGCATGCCGGACACTGACAGCACAAGACGGAGCGAGTTCACCACCTCCCTTGTCCATGCAGCGCTTGTTGCTTGGCTGAACTCTCCCCTGCGTCTGTCGCACCCGAGCCCTTGTGCGGCATGACAGCCCAGTGGGCACCGCTGAACCCTGGGGTGGGCTCTCGCCAATGGCGGAGGGCATTTCAATCTCAAAGTCACGAGGGATGGCTTGAAGGTTGGGGTCGAACAGACAAACCCGACCTACAAAACAAGAAGTCAGAATTCATGACATAAAGCTTAAGGTTGCACTGGAATCAAGCCAACAGTGCGTTAACCCTAGATGCAGTGTGATTAATACTGAACCTTTTTGAAATCAGCCCGGTTATAAAGTCTTAACTTGTGGACCTTGGAGAATTGTGAAAAGTATCTTTCTTTCAATGCAAACAGAGCAAGTGAATAGTTGACACTCATTGTATAAACACTGCAAACCACTAATTCACCAGAATTGATTCTATCTGAGTAATCAGACACCTTGGTAAGCTCCATCAAACCCCATCCTCTGATGAGTTCAGCTGACCCAAGCCCAATTGTAAGTTAACTTAGGACGAATGTAAACATGCTCCTATGGAGGGTTTGCATGGCTGCCATCTAGCGGGCCAGTGCTTTAGTTCCATGGGTTATGCACAAAGGAGGTTTCTGTGTGGCTTAAAAGAACTGCCCAGCAAGATGGCAACCACGTAAAGCCTCTAAGTTTCAGTTCAATCCAATGTAGGGCTTGTTGTTATGGTCAAATATGTCGTAGCACCAATGGGTCCACAAACAAGCATTAATCACTTCACTGAGAAAAGTCAACAGTTCTGGCCAACCGGTCTTGGATAAGCTACATTTTGCCAGAATTTCATTCCATTATCATAATAAAATTGTATGAAAATGACTGTAAGACACGATTCAATGAACTACTTAAGGATTACAAAAGGAGAGAAAATGCAGTCCAATAAATATCAAAGAAAATGTTGAGGCCCCTCCGGTTAGTAACAATAACTACATTAACACTTGATAATGTCACAGTGAGATGAGCCATGGGATCCTGGCATGAGGAAGACCAAGGCTGTCTCTTAGTGTCTCTCATCTTCTTGGTGTGTACCTGTAGCAGTGTGGGTCTGACAGGAGGCATAGATCCTCTCCCCTCCCAACTGGGCATCAATCTGTAGCTCCTTCAGCAGAGGGTACACCACCTTGCTGACGGCTGCTGTGATCCGACGCCACTCTAGCACCACTCCAGGCAGTGGGTGGAAGGGGCGGAGCTTCTCCAGGGCTACCTTGCAGGTGCTGAAGTGTTTGGGGAGGTGCTGTCGGCTGCCCCGGGTGCCGAGAGTCTTGCGGAGGGTGGTGGTGGTTGTGGTGGAGGCTTGGGTGGGGTCACCATTTGGTGGCAGGCGGAGCTCAACATACAGGACCTACAGGTGGAGGAATTAACAATAAATTGGGAGATGACGTAATGTTAAACTGGAGGTTTAAAAGGTTACTCGTTCTTATCCTTTACACTGTAGGCTGCCAATCCCTCCTCTTGTAGCATACCTTGTGTGTGCATGTGAAAAGGATACGGAAAATAACGACTACTGAGATATCAAAAGGATCAGCACCTCTATTAATGTTCATAAGGACTATAATATAACAAGAACATAAGTTGATAAATCTCAAGTCTTGGTTTATTCCGGCTTTGGAACAAAAGTTTAATTAGGATTCTTCCTAGGTGAAATGATTACTTTATGTGCACATTTTAGAGAAAAATACATGTAGCCTCAACCAATTCAAACTGACTAGAATCAGATGCCAAATCACAAGACTTGGATTGACCCAAAATTCCATAAAAGAGACTTCACAAACCTCTTCATTTTGTTAATGATGTTCCCTGTTAGACACAATGTCAACAAGATTTTTCTGACAAAAAAACCTGGACCACGTGTGGTTTTTAATTTTTTCCCCACCCCACAAGGCATGCAACCCAACAAAATATTTGTTCCTGAAACAGCATTTCTTTAAACCTGGATCACGCATGGTTTAAATTTTTTCCATGCCCCACTGTGTACTGGTCATTTTTATTTCGCACATTCAATCCACCAAAAGAATTAATCCTCCCCCTCTAAGGATTTCTTTATACAAAGCTGGGTCATGCCTGGTTCTATTTTTTTCCCTGTCTGTGATTCTGTCGGCACACCGCGGCTGTCAACAAGTACCAGGAATGCAGTCATCTGTGGAAGCATTACGCAAATCGGTACCCTTTTTATGCAGGATCCCTAAGTAGGTCGGCAGTGCCGAGGGTCGGCCAGTTGGGGCGCACCAACCCTCAGCACTGTGCGACACTGTGGGGCGCACGCACAGCGCCAATTTGACGCCGTGCCTTATCTAAAACAAAAAGGCACACAATGTCTGAAGACAACATCTTTCTAAAGTCTGACCACATTTTCAAAAGCATGTGCATTTCTAACAAAAATCAGCCGCCAGACTATTAACCTATCATGGCCAGCAGCCAGGCCAGTCTTTAGTCTTTCATGCTCACCTGAGCAATGTCGTCAGGTGATGTGAGCGAGAAGCCATGACCAGCCATCTGATAGGCCTGCTCCTCCAAAGCTGCCAGCTTGGCTTGCATGACAGCCTTCTGGGACTCACACTCAGCCTGGCTGAAGCCAAAACCCGTCAGCTCCATGCGGGCCAAGACCCTCATGCTGGGCATTTCAACCTGGGGGGGGGGAGGCCAAGCCAAATAGACGGGTTACAGCATAATGTAAAGGATGAAGTTGGTCGCATATCGTAAATACTCAGACAGATGATGCCATGATCTGAATGACAAATTTGTAGCAATATATACAGATGAAGACACTGCTCACACGTACACGTACATCATGCATTGCTCACAAAACTTTTTGACAGTACATGTACTTGGAGAGCACTGTGTTTACAGAACTTGTATTATGTCGGTAACTGGCAAACCAAATGCTGAAATGATACATTTACCTCAATTGTATTTGTTTTGTTGAATTATGAATGAAGCATCCACATTTCCATGATGCAAAAATGATTGAATTACTATTGTTAATAAGACACAAAGAATTCACATGAACCATATCACACGCTCTTTGCATTTTCCATGTCAGCTTGCAAAAGCAATCTCAGATTCCATGCAATGTCCAAACCCCAGCACACTTCTTCAGTACATGTAGCTACAATGTACATGTAGGGCTGTTTGCCATAGTTCATGTTGAAGGCAAAATCTCAGGGAGACTGGTGATAGATGGTATTATCATATTGTTACAAAGATCCCAGGCTGACTCTGGATAATTTCTTACCTCAGTGAATGCTTTGTAAAGTCCCTCCTTCCTCAGGGTGGGTTCCAGGTGGTCCATGAGAGCTAAGACCAGGACGGATTCTGTGGCTGCCCTGAGACGGCCCGTGCCTGACTCCTGGGGTGCCAGAGCCAGACTGCCCAAGCCCAAACCGCCACTCATACCTGAAGCGGAACAAGGGGAGGGTGGGGAAAGGGAGTAGTGGTAGGAAATGAAGGTGGTTTCAAAACGACAAATCTGTGTTCATCTTATGCGCCTATACTGATGATTCTGACACAAACTGCTTGCAGAAAAAGGAAAAAAAATAATTCAACACGTTCAGGCTTAACCACTTCATGCCAGGGCATTTTTCAACGTTGATGATGCTGGGCCGGCATGACTATTTTTTCCGTTTTCAAAATCCTTCAAAAATTCATCATTCCATTTAACGGTCGTTTATAGCCATACGAAGTAATCTTTAGGCACTA